TAAGTTGTGTCTATCCAGATCGTATATCCGGGGTCTGGCTTGTAGTCGTCGTCAGTGTTGGAAGCGTTGTTAGTTTTATCGGCGTTGTCGGTAACGGCATTATAATTTTAGCCTTCCTGAAAACAAAGTCTTTGAGAAAGCCTTGCAATGTCTTTCTGACAAACCTTGCATTAGGTGACTGTTTGTACGCCCTGATCGGTTTCCCGGTGTACTTCATCACGGACTTTGTACACGACTGGTGGTGCAATCCTGCATTTTATTACTTCAGGATCTTTGTTCTTGCCATCGTGATTATGGTGTCAATTAACAATATTGCACTGATTGCACTGGAGAGATTTCTTGGTATTCGGTATCCATTCTTCTACGGAGCAAATATGACCGTCAACAGGTGTTACCTCATCGCGGTCTGTAGTTGGGTGTTTGCGGCAGCCAGGGCGATGTTCTTAGCCGGGACTTATTTCGTGAACCTGACACCAGCAGTGGCCACAGAGATGGTTATTATAGCCGTCTTGCTCACATTTACTGTCGTCGTATACTCGTATGTATATGTTGTCAGTAGACGCCACTTAATGAAAGATAGAAATTTCGGAATAAAACAGGAAAGTAAATCAAAGACAGTTGTCTATATTGCAATAGTGAATGCTCTGTCTTGGGTGCCAGTCATAGGGGTTCGATTTATAGATATTTTTATTATTGACTCCCGTTACTGGCGACAGGCAACATTTTTGTCCCCTTTTGTAGGAACCTGCTTCAATTTGTTAATCTACACCTATAGAATGACAGACTATAGGCAAGCAGTAATGAAAATGTTGAGGTGTGTCGTCAAGGTTTATCCAGATGCTGACATACAAGGTAATACCGGAGAGACAAATCAACAGTGGAAGCTCGATGACATACCCTGAGAACTATTGAAAATATGTCGTGTAATGAGACAGGAGGAGGTGAGGTGAGATGAAAAAGGGTTATTGCTATGTATAGCGACGTGTGTGGTGTGTGTGTGGTGTGGTGTGTGGTGTGTGTGTGTGGTGTGTGTGTGGTGTGTTTGTGTGTGTGTGTGTGTGTGTGTGTGTGTGTGTGTGTGTGTGTGTGCTTGTACTAGTCCGGACTAATGCCTGTTTTTATAGTGCTAACCCATTCATACACCATGCCGCAGTTTAAAATTAATACCCTATACACACAGTACACAGTATAACTCCAAATCGACCAGATCTTATTTTATCCCCTTGAGGCCGAGCGCCATCAGGGAAACAACATTTGCGTCCTTTTATCGTTGTTTGGTATGACGCGGCCTGGGATCGAACCGCCGACCTTCAACTTTCCGGTCAGGCGCTCTACTCACTAAACCGCGGAGGCGGTCCGAGACAGAAAGAGTACTCACAGACCGCAGTTACGAAAAACGAATTGACCGGGATCGTATATTACCATTATCTTTTATTAAAAGAAATTCGAATAGATGAGGTTTCACAGTTGAAGATAGTCAATTATTACCAACAAATGAGTAGAAATGGTCATAACTCCAATTTCTTACCACCGGGGTAGTATCGATCGCCTATTCAACATGGAGACGGCCATATCACACAGAGGGTGTAACCAGACCCTTATTACACCCCCTGTAGGTCTGATATGGCTTGTCAATGCATTTTCACAGGGCTATCATATCAGCCCCGGTGGTAAGAAATTAGAGTTACGTCCTGTAGTGCGTCGCCTGCTCGCCTAACTGTCCCGTGACAATGTCTACCAAACAAGATGAAAAGGTATTGCATTTACTTGCAAATAGAAACAACCCAATGATTTTATGGTATATGGTTAAAAGGTTCGACCCTCGGGCTGACATGGGGGTCTGGGGCTGAAATGGGGGTTTCAGGTTGATATGGGGGTCTCAGGTTGACATGGGGTCTCAGGTTGTTATGGGGGTCTCAGGTTGACATGGGGGTCTCAGGTTGATAACGGGGTCTCAGGTTGACATTGGGTCTCATGTTGACATGGGGGTCTCAGGTTGACATGGGGGTCTCAGGTTGACATGGGGGTCTCAGGCTGACATGGGGTCTCAGGTTGATATGGGGTCTCAGATTGATATGGGGTCTCAGGTTGACATGGGGTCTCAGGTTGACATGGGGGTCTCAGGTTGACATGGGGGTCTCAGGCTGACATGGGGGTCTCAGATTGATATGGGGTCTCAGGTTGACATGGGGTCTGAGGTTGACATGAGGTCTCAGGTTGACTTTGGGGTCTCAGGTTGATATGGGGGTCTCAGGTTGACATGGGTGTCTCAGGTTGACATGGAGTCTCAGGTTGATATGGGGGTCTCAGGTTGATATGGGGGTCTCAGGTTGATATGGGGGTCTCAGGTTGATATGGGGGTCTCAGGTTGACATGGGGGTCTCAGGTTGACATGGGAGTTTCAGGTTGACATGGGGTCTCAGGTTGACATGAGGTCTCAGGTTGACTTTGGGGTCTCAGGTTGATATGGGTGTCTCAGGTTGACATGGGTGTCTCAGGTTGACATGAAGTCTCAGGTTGATATGGGGGTCTCAGGTTGATATGGGGGTCTCAGGTTGATATGGGGGTCTCAGGTTGATATGGGGCCTTAGGTTGATATGGGGATCTCAGGCTGATATGGGGGTCTCAGGTTGACATGGAGGTCTCAGGTTGATATGGGGGTCTCATGTTGACATGGGGTCTCAGGTTGACATGGGGGTATCAGGTTGACCTGGGGGTCTCAGGTTGACATGGGGGTCTCAGGCTGATATGGGGTATGTTATGAAAACTACCATTTAATCATCTATAATTAATGCACGAGGACAAGGAACACCCGAGTGTATTATTTTTCACGAATAACAGCTTTTTTTTGTCTTTCTTTGACATAAATAATTCAACGCTGAGAAGCCAGCGCGCAAACAACCAACTAGACCTACTGTGTCGAAATCTAACAGACAGTAACACGTGTCAAGTCGAGATATCGTGGGTTCAAAACTTGATGCAAGTGGTGAACGATTTGCCATGATTGTGCTAAAGATGTTATATACTTAATTGTGTGGTTTAACAACATCTCGTGTGTATATTTGGTTATTTATTTTTGCTATGACTGTTTTAGTTATGTTGTTTTGTTTTCATAGTTGAATGAATATTCCTCACCATCAATGTCAGCTTTTAATTCACAAATCAAGACCATTTCAATTCAAGAACACATGATCTAGGACAATTTCATCAAGAAGCGAACATAGCATACCACATATGCGCCATTATAATACCTAATTGTCTATTTATTTATTTCATCTTTTTTCGCTTTCCTGAGTAGTGTTCCCTTGACAAACCAGAAACCTTTGATTGTGTGTTCGAATCCCGGTTCGCCCCGATTATGTTCCTAGGTTTGTCAGCATCATACCCGTGCGCGTGGGTTTCACCGAAGTGGTAAACGTCTGAGACCTGCAACACTGGGCTTTCCTCCCACATTAAGCTGACACTGGAATGCTGTTAAAAATGGCGTTATACCAAATTCACTGTCATTATATTATTCCTTCACTCAATATTATTAATAATTATTATTAGTATTAAAAATATGTTTACACAATGCGTTCAAATTTAGACGCGCAGTGTCCGTTTTATCTGTTATGTTGATTTTCCTGTATTTATTTGAAACCTGTTGCACCTATTGTCAGCATGTTTTTTGTGGAATAAAACTTATCAATACTGTTTCATTATCACAGTTTTGTTGTTGTTGACAATTTTGGGCACATTTGTTTCTAGCGTCTTAAATCGGTGTGCAAAGTTGCGTCCCTTAACCAGGCCAGGATCCGCTGCTTATAGTAGTATGATATTCGCCCCAATAATGATTCTAGGATTATACTCGTGCTGAATATACACCAACGTACATTTAAAGAAAACTAAATGTTTAATTCAGAAAAAAACAAAAACAAACAAAACAACAACAACAAAAAAACTATTAAAAATCACACACGTTTTAGCACATTGCAGTTCAAGGTAAATATATAACACATTTTCCAGAGATCATTTATTGCTTACAAATGGATTGATTGAACCATGATATAAGCAATATCATAGTCCTTGTCGTTAATTAATTATCGTTGAGCATCGAGTAATCCGTAATTCGAAACATACGGTTTATGTCAGGGTCATTAAGTTGCCTTATGTGTTTTACGAAATATCGTGTTAATTGAGTTCTAGTTAATATTTTACTTATATAACTGACTATAAAAGTCCAGTTCCACCAGATCGTCTTCACTGGGCGGCGCCATTTTGTTTGAAGCAAGTGCAAGTGATATGAATGGTGGAATCTGATTGTTCAATAGGATTGACATAGAAGGGACATAACTCGTAATAAGCCACCGTAGGTCCTTCGATCAAGCCTGGAAATTCCAGCTTAGTTCGGCAAGGGTGGAAACTGGACTTTTATAGTCAGTTATCGCCTCTGCCTCGGGAAGATGGTCTCATACACAAACTTGAGCACATTTATTAAAAACATGAAAGAGTTGGAAAAGATCTGTCGAAGCCCTGTTGAGGGTACACATGCTTTGCAAATCCTGCAGTCGACCGAAATTTGTACGAATGTTGTTTACGAATAGGATGTCGACTCCGTTATGCGATATTGATTGGACTATGCACAAACTCGTTAGTCCAGCCAAAATATAACTCAGAAATTCCATTCCTCCGTAGTCTAGTGGTACAGCGTCCGCCCGAAGGTACGGAGTTCGATCCCCGGTCGCGTCACGCCAAAATACGTTAAAACATGGTCCTTGTTGTTACCCTATCTGGCGGCATTAAGGTATTAAAACAAGGACTTGTCGGCTCGTAGTCAGTTTACTGTGTCTGAGTGGGGCATTCATGTTAAACTGCGACATGGTACCTCAATGGGTTAGCACGATAAATCGGCATCACTCCAGACTACTATAAGCCAGCAGCCACACACGTACGTGCATGAACGTTGCTACGAGAGGCGTTCAATAAGTTTTGCAACTTCAATATAAGTCCAAGTCGCAGAATATCTTTTGCACTTTTATTTTTCAATATAATCTCCATTAACCTCCATACACTTATTGCATTAGTCCTTCAAGCTTTTAATACCACTTTTATAGAAGTCCGCAGATTGGCCCTCTAACCACGCCTCTGTGGCAGCCTTTATGTCCTCGTCATCCTGGAAGCGTCTTCCACGTAGGGCAGATTTCATTTGCCGGAACAGGAAATAGTCACTGGGGGCTAAATCTGGGCTGTTAAGTGGGTGATTTAACTGTTCGAATCCACATTCACATATGGCGGCCTGTGCAATTCTCGATTTGTGAACCGGAGCATGGAAGGAACTTTATTACAGCGCGTTGTTCATGTTTGAGAGAATCCATGATTGTGACCACCCTTAGGTGAATGAAGCCATCACATCTAACTTATTGTTGTGTCTGGAACTTGTTATGACACGTGTCAACCTTATGTTATGACTAGTGCCACAACTGCCACACGTTGACATTGTTTGTGTAAACACAAATGCCTAAGTTGCAAAACTTATTGAACGCCTCTAGTATATAAGTGCAATGATCTTGGACTCGACGTTAAACCCAATTTCACCTCACCTTACATTTGCCTCAGAAAGATGATTAATATAACAATTATTGTACTTTAAAAAAAAAATAAACTCATTCAAATATAAAAAAAGGATCCATTCAAATATTATCAAGATATTTTATTATTAATGACAAAACTGCCATTTTCCTATTTTTGAACAAATCCCAACCCCTCCGAGATTAAAAAGAAAAAAGGAGAAAAAAGAACCCCCCCAAAAAACAAAATATGAAATATTCACAAAATTAATTACAAGGCGACATCAAGGTCACTTCTTCAAGATATATACTCTCAAAACAAGTTAAGGAACACCCGAATCTTTCATATTGCTATAGTTTATTCGTCATGACGTGACAGATTAACTTTAATTGTTTGAATGAATTGCTTTAGTTAATCTGTGATGGCATGACAGATCAACTTTAGTTATATGAAAGAATTGGGTGTAGTATATGTTGCTGTTTTTCGGAAGGAGGGACCAAATCTTTTTTGGCCCCACGACACTATTTTGAAACTGGAAAAACTGTTTTTAGTATCTTCTTAAACAAATTATGCTCAAACAGAAATGCTAAAAAATTCAGCCACCGCCACCCCTCTCCTCTAAAAGGCGGACTCCTTTGTACACCAATTGTTCGTCACGTAAGTCTTCAAAAGCCATTCGGGACGCACTGAAGAGCCGCTTGATGCCAAGCTTCGCCTTTCGGACAAACCTTCACGAAAGCATCTCCATACTGATCACACTGAATGAACTTGTCCTTGTCTGGGTGGGGGTAGTAAAACAGATCCCCTTCGTGAAGGTTCCTCTCGCAAGGGTTGTGAACATTCTTGTCGACCGTCATCTTATTTGGGTCGACAATGACATACTTGCAGATGCAGGTGAGAATGCTCTGGTCCCAGATCTTCCCCTGTTGGCACGTCATGACATATCCAACATTCGGCCAGATGAAGCAGTCAATGTACTTAGTCTCGTCTTGGGGGTAGGGGATGAGATGTCCCTTGGTTTCGTCTGTGCATGGGTGGGTACTCGGTGAGTGAATGCTGGGTCGAACTGACGTAGAATGGGATGTTGCTGTCGACGGTCTTCTAGTGGAAGCAACGTCAGGGTGAGCTTTGATAGTTGTTGTTGGAATGGCAGCCTGTTTTGTTCCTACTGAGGGTATGTGTGATCTAAGTGACGACTTAACGATTGGGGTTGTAGTTTCAGGTGGTGTAGAAGATGTTGCTGGTGAAGTAGCGGGAATAGAAGTCGTAGTTGTGGTTGTTGTAGTAGATGTTGATGAAAAGGTTGTGGGATTCATTTTTGTAGTAACGCGAAGTGAAGGTGGAGTTGATTCAGTCGGGGGTTTAATTGTAGTGGTTGAAGCAGTTATCGTTGTAGTAGTTTTTGTTGTAAAGGTCGTTGATGTAGTAGCAGGCATAGAGGTTACAGTGGGGGTAGGTGGAAATGATGTTCTTTTCATGGTTGTAGCTGGTTGAGAAGGTGGATTTGTTGATGTATTTGGAGCTGCAATTGTGGTGGATGCAGGTGTCCTTGTAGTAGTAGATGTGGTGGTAGAGGGTTCACCAACGATGCAGTCCATGATGTTCTGGTCGTAGATGTGATGTTGGTGACACTGGAACACGTTGTCTATGCCATTGGGTCCACATATGATGAACTTTGTCTGATCCGTGGGATGGGCTTGAAATCCTGGCTCGCTCATCAAGCATGGATTAGATATGTTATCTGCAAATACATAATACATCTAATCATGCTTACCAGCACATAGGAACAAGGATGTCTCAACCAAACCCCGACAAGCTAGTGGTTAAAGCGTTTTCGGCCCGGGTTCGATTCCCCACATGGATACAATGTGTGAAGGCCATTTCTCGTCAATCTCATTAAAATCGGATCTACTTCTCGCTATATCGAAACAGAGATCTGAGGACATCCCATTACGGGTCACGCCAGAACGACCTTTCATCCGACCAATCAAAGCGTCGCTTACCAGATCATGAAAGTGACAGTCGGAATGTGTTTTCTAATCATGCAACCTCGAACACGTTAACACGGGGTATTCCCAACGACAGTTACGGCTGATTCCATCAAAATTATCGTCTATCTCTCGCTTCCGAGGGAGAACATTTGAACCGAAGAGGCGTTGCACAGACAATGGGAATCACTGCCATACAATCTCAACCATATATTAGACATTCAAGAATAGTAGTTTGTTCAGTTTTCAAAATTTTAATCGAGACCTGTGTCAACAATATCTTTCAAGCGTAGTCTGAAATAGAAGTCGCCAGGTTAAAACGAGTGCCGTAAAGCTTGAGAAAGCTGCTTTCTAATTGGCTGATGTGGACTTCTTGTTAGTCATTTCAGTGGTCGGGCAAAGTGGTGGTTCTGATGTGACCCGTAATAGGATGTCCTCAGATTTTTGTTTAGCGGCAGCGACAACTTTGATCTGATTTCTCGTGTACTTCGTCGTGATATCGCGGTAGCATTGCTGCAAGCGGCGTAAATGCATACTCACTCACTCACTCAGTGTAACAGTTGGGGAATACATTAGGATGTTTCGACACGCCAATCTCACGATACTTCAGTTGGTTCATTGTACAATACAAATTGCGATTCTAAATTGAACGTCTTTAGTGCTTGATTTTCATCATGTTCTAACGGTCCATCCGATAAGAGGCAGTTACTATCATCCATTTTATGGTCATACGTTAGTTAAGTTGGACTCGTTTCATGTTTCATTATTATATAAAATGCGGATTTTTTTGCAAAATGAAACAGTTGAAAATTGTGAAACAGTGGCCGGAACAAATCCGGAATTGACAAAAGATTCCACTAGGATATTGAACAGTTGGTGTAGATACTAAGAGTGAGTGAGTGAGGGTGGTTTTACGCCGCTTTTAGCAATATTCCAGCAATATCACGGCGGGAAATGGGCTTCACATATTGTACCCATGTCTGGAATCGAACCCTGGTCTTCGGCGTGACGAGCGAACGCTTTAACCACTACGCTACCCGACCGCCCCGTAGATACTTACATGGAGGTTCCACAACTGTGAAGAAGTTACGGTAGAAGTCCACCACAGAACACACCCTGGCGACGTCATGGTGAACACAGAGGACCGAGGTACCTGGAAGAAAGATCAAATCATACTGAACCAATCACAGAGCAGGAGTGAATTAATCCCGGACGAGGCGTCAGACGTTCTTCAATTTGCTTTATCCGAACGATATTATGCAATAGATGATAAATTAAGAATAATTGAATATCCTTGATCAATGTTGGCAACTTCCATGAGTGGCATAGGAAAGATTAGGGAAGTTGGGTTTCATTATCGTTATTTGGCAGCATCACAATTCTGACGAGCGGACCAAGATGGCGCCTGCTTATTGCTCCATGGACATTTACGTTCACTAATATTATTTATTTGCATCTGGCCCTTTTGCATAGTCTTTACTACATTCATATATTTACGGTAATGTAAAAAACATTAACTCCATTCTTGTATCGATACTAGCGCCATGCTAAGGCTTACAAAGAATCAGAGAAACCAGACATTATGACGACTGCAATACTTTTAATGTCCACGTGGGAACCATGTCCAGATTACAGCAAAGATACCAGCGTTGTTTAACGCCGCACTCCGCAATATTCCAGCTATATGACGGCGGTCTGTAAATAATTGTGTCAGCGAGCCTGACCACCCGATCCCGATAGTCGCCTTTTTCGACAACCATAGTCACCTTTTACGGCAAGCATGGATTACTGAGGACCTATTCTACCCCGGAATCTTCACGGGTTCGATCACTGGATAGTCTGGTGGATTGTCTGGTCCAGACACGATTATTTACAGACCGCCGCCATATAGCTGGAATATTGCTGAGTGCGGCGTTAAACAACAAACAGACATGCAAAAACCAACAGCTTTATGGCTCCGAGAGCCTGGTTTCTCTGATTCTTCTTGGTCTTGACATGGCGCTGGTATCGATACAAGAATGTTTGATCCACGTATTGGGGTGCCGTGCATATTGATTTTCATGGAAATCATTCTGGACTTGGCACCATGGTCGTCTGTGAAGCATTTTGAGACGACCAAATATATCCATATTTGTGGCACATTTTGGCCGTTAACATTAAATTTGGATACAGACTGGTGTCAAAAACGAGATATCTCCAAAAATGCATTGATCTTTCAGTGGGAAACTTTCATGAAGCATTTTCTTGTTTGTTTCATTTTAGCCATCATCAAACATGTGTATACTTTCTTTTGACCGTCAGTTTAGTTTGAACAGTGCAGTTTCAACACCTACTGAGATTAACTCTTTCCACGTTGCCAATGTTGATGGTGTAGTTGCCACTGCAGCCGTTGACGGGTCCAGACGCGGTGATGTTGAGATACAGGGGTCTGTGCTCCGTGTCTATCACTACCACGGTAGCTGTAGCCGGGACGGAGATGCTAGTGGAAAAACATGACAGGAGGTTGGTGTCGTATGAGGTGAGGTGAGGTGAGTTGAAATTGGGTTTAACGTCGCGTCGCTTTATATAAAGACATGCAATATTTAACAGTTTATTTGTTATACTCCATAAGTGAACCCAACCTATATTAAAACTTAAATCAAACTTGCTGCCATGGAAATGTAAAAAATATAAATTTCTACAATTCCTAAATAGCAAAAGGCACCAGTTCAGTATGTGCCTGGTAGACATGCAAAGTTTTGTGATAAAGTATTTAACAATTTTTTAGTTACGCTCCGGAAATGAACACCACCCTTATAGAATCTAAGTCCAACTTGTTACCATGGAAACGTAAAAAATAAAAAGTTCTAAAATTCCTACAAAACAAAAGGCACAAGTTCAGCATGATAGACATACAAAGTTTGGTTAGAAAGTATTGAATGGGTTTTGAGTTATGCTCCGGAAACGAACTCTACCTAAAAGAACCTAAGTCCAATTTGTTGCCATGGAAACGTAAAAAATAAAAATTTCTAAAATTCCTAAATAGCAAAAGGCACCAGTTTATTATGTGACTGATAGATTTGCCAAGTTTCGACCAAATACAGTGAATGGTTTTCGAGTTCTGCCCCGGAAAAGGAAATGATTACGGACGGTCGAACAGACAGACTGGATGATCGCTATATCCACAAAACCTCCCCCCCCCCCCCCCCCCCCACCCACCCCCCCATCCCCCACTCTACCCCCGGATTATATGCCGGAGGGATAAAAAGTAATCGTTGTTGGGTAATTTTGGTGTAAACATAAATTGGTTCCATGAAGACTGAAAATTGAAATGTTGTAAATTTGTGCCGAAAACCAACAAATGCATTGATTTTTAAAGATGACATGTCTAAGTTTTAAATAAAATTATATTAAAAATCTAAAACCATGTAGAAGTATTCTTTGAGTGCTGACTTAGCGCCAGTATAGTTCTGTTTTTGAATATAAAATGCCTAACTGGAGATATTTTCAATTTAAGTGTGTATTTTTTACCCCGCTTTTAGCAATATTCCAGCAGTATCACGGCGGGGGACACATTATCCCCGTGAGGGGAAACGAACCCTGGTCTTCGGTGTGAACAGCGAACACTTTAACCACTAGGCTACCCACCTCCCCCTTTTCAATTGAAAATGAACCACATGATAAAATCAACTGAGAGGTAGTTTGTTTTGCTCCTTGGTATATGTGAAGTGTTCTCTGTATAAATCTTTGCTTATAAAACATAAAATATTCTGAGTTGTTTCAGTAAGACGAGCTAATGCTTTGTCCAGATGGCTACCAACCCATCCCCCATTCGTATCTGATACCGTACTATGTACATGTATGTCTGGAGATAAAGGAACCCTCCTACCTGTAGAAGTCGTGGCCGGCCTGGTTGGGGGTGGGATTGATCACGGACCCGTAAACACTGACCGCGCCGTCAGTAACGGCGAGCTAGGAATAGAAAACAAGCATTGGTGGCGCACCTCTGATGGCGTGTACAATGTATTTGCGCAGTATGACGCTTGGATAGGAATTAGTTAGTGAAACAAATGGAGAAAGGTGTTGGTATAGACGTGGATGATGTGGCGTGTGTGTGTGTGTGCTGGTGTGTGTGTTGGTGTAGGTAGTGTGTGTGTGTGTGTGTGTGTGTGTGTGTGTGTGTTGGTGTAGGTAGTGTGTGTGTGTGCTGGTGTGTGTGTGTTGGTGTTGATGTGGGCAGTGTGGTGTGTGTGTGTGTGTGTGTGTGTGTGTGTGTGTGTAGGTGTTTGTGTGGTGTGTGTTGGTGTTGATGTGTGTGTGTTGGTGTGTGTGTGTGTGTGTGTGTGTGTGTGTGTGTGTGTGTGTGTGTACGTGTGTAGATGTTTGTGTGGTGTGTGTAAGAATGGCCGTGGGGTGGGGTTGGAGAGAAGGATGTTGGTGTGAGCGTAGCGTGTGGAGCGTGAGTGTGGGTTTGAGCGCGTGTGTGAGATGCGTGTGTCGGTGGCAGTGTGAACAAATAAATTATCACCATGTATATATGATCTTAAATGTATTACGCTCATATAAAGATTAGTCAGGAGGCCCCCATCCACCATCTCCTGTATCCCTCGTGATCCCTTTTCCCTACCTTCTACCCCTATGCAGATGTACAGGTAGGAGTTCCCGCAACTTACCATGACCTGTGTTGTTGAACCGTTACTGTCAATCTGGTAGAGCCCACTGTTCAAGCAGGGGTAGACGTAGCGGCCGCGAGTCAGGACAGCTGGGGCTGGAAAAGCCACCATGTACTATACAGTGTAGTGACACTTAGCAATAATCGAACATTCTGTCTGACACACATCGAGTCTCCATCGACCAGCTATCACATTTTAATTCAAATTTCCCGTTGTGGCACACGTTATGGCAAACGGGGATATTCAGAAAAGTATGAAAGATTTGGGACTTAACCCCAAGCTTACTACGAGCAAATGCGACCCTTACCGCCTCCACCCCACCCATTTCTGGTGGCCCCCGCCGTGATATTGCTGGAATATTGTTAAAAGCGGCGTAAAACCATACTCACTCACTCACTCACTCACTCCATCCCACCCAACCCCAAAGAGAGACGCAGACACTCATCATTGGTACCTGTAGTCGTGTCAATACGATCGCGTTGTTTGTTTGAGAAGCAATTTTTTTCTGTAATTGCTTCTAACAATTTCTTCTCTAAAAGGACATTTTTGGGACTTCTTGTTTCAGAACACCTGAGCAAAAGGTTTTTACCATCATTTATATAAATTATTTTAGAATGTCCCTGTCCCCTTTCAGTTAGAAACATGATTTTTTCACAAATACTTTAAAACATGTTTTTCTCTGAAAAGAAACATTTTTCTCCGAACAATATTTTTTCCCCGACACCCAAAACAATGAGTATCATTTCTTTAAATGTATTTCTTTTTTCAACCCTCGCATATAAAATGGTTGTTCTATTATATACCACATTGAAATCATGAAATCATGAAGATCCTGGTTAGAATAGGGTCTTCAGCAACCCATGCTTTCCGTAAGAGGCAACAACGCTTGTCGTAAGAGGCGACTAACGGGATCGGGTGGTCAGGCTGGCTGACTTGGTTAATGCATGTCATCATATCCTAATTGCATAGAACGATGCTCATGATGTCAATCAATGGATTGTCTGGTCCAGATTCGATTATTTACGGACCGCCGTCATATAACTGGAATATTGCTGAGTGCGGCGTTAAACAACAAACAAAGAAACCAACAAACAAGAAAGCAGAAACCACTCACCCTTGCATGAAACCTCCTGGATTTCACCTACAAGCGAACTGAGTTCTCCGTATCCGGTAAGCGTCACAACATGTGTACACTCAGGCTTGTTAGCAAGGTTTCTCAGCTCGTCCGTGTCCACATCACCACCTACCCCAATAGCAAATATTGTAATCCCTTTGTTTCTGGTGCGTATTGCGGCAGGAAGAGTTCTCTTGGGAGCTGTGGATTTCCCGTCTGTAACCAACAGAATAACCTTCGAGCTCCCCTCTCTGGAACCCGAAGACTTGGTAAACAACGTTTCCGAAGCGTAGTCCAATGCTTGGTCGGTGTCCGTGGGTCCCTCTGACTTGAGCACTTGGTCAATTGCTTCATGGACGTCATCGTTGTTCGTGTATTGGTTGAAATCAAACTGAGATTTGTACCCACTGCTGAAAGTTACGAGCGCTATTCGGACATCATTACGACCTATCTTGAAGTTTTTCACAACATTTTGCGCAAACTGTTTGGCTTTCTTAAAATCCTCTGGAGCAAGACTTGAGGAGGCATCGACGAGGAAAGCTAAATCAAGGTCTGTTCGTTGGCAGACTGAAAGTAATGGAAATATTTGACTTTAATTTTTTTCCGACAAAACCTTTTCCATATTCATAATAAATCTCTGCCACAAACAGAGTCGATGTGCTATTCCGACCATATCATAAACATGTGTTTTTTGGATCACTGTAAAATAGTGATGGTACCAGGCTTTCGCGAAAAGGTGAGCTTATCCTGCCCCACCGTTGCCACCCGGTAAGTAGGAAGTAAGTACCCCTTTCTGCTTATTAAACATGTTTCACTTCCGACATTCAATTGTTTCTTGGTGGTTTGCTCGTAGGAAGAGGGGGCACGGGTGGCCCAGTCGTCTAAGGCGCCGCGATTCGCTGTGCACAGTTGCGTCCCTTGGGCACGCCAGAAACCTATGATTGTGGGCTCGAATCCCGGTTCGCCCCGATTATGTTTCTAGGTTTGTCATCACCATACCCGTGCTCGTGGGTTTCACCGAAGTGGTTAACGTCTGAGACCTGCATGACTTCGGGTTTTCCTCCCACATTAAGCTGTCACGCCGTGATATAACTGGAATAATGTTAAAAGCGGCGTAAAACCCAACTTACTCCTGGGAACCGTTCATGGATGGGGAAATACCAGAAACAAATATCCTTTTCTGCTGATCTAAAATTGACAGTTCCGACAGCCGGCTAACTAAGAGTGGAATTATACGTATATAATTATTTTTGGGAATAGTTCATAGTTGGAAAGATACCGCAAAGACAAGGTCTCTCTGATACTCCATCATCTGAGAAAACCAGGTTAGGTCAAACATTTAATTAATTTACAAAATCGCTCTCTCAAAAGCTAGAAAAAATGCCATTTTGGCACATGTTAGCTGTTTTTATTTTAGCAAACATTTTAGAACGTTACAATATAAGTCCGAACACGCAATTGTCTAAAGATCCAAATTTTTATTCACATAAACTTTCCCAACGATTTCTTAAGGTTCTTCATACTTCTTAAAGTATGAACATTTAGGGAACAGAAAAGGTTCCATATCATAACTAGTGGTTTAAATAATCCCATCATTTAATATCCAAAAATGATATTAGGTGAAAGTTAAAGTGTGGCAACGTTCTGCAACCCAGCCTTACTATACCTGTGTCAAAACGTTTGGATCCTTCTGAAAAATTGTGCACTGATTGAGTGTCATTGCGGAAGTGCCTCTGGTAGAAGGTGGCTTGGTCTTCTGTTCGTTGAGGGATGTCTTCAGGCAAGGTGGCGAGGTAGAGAGCTGCTGCAAGTACCGAGAAGATGGGTTTCCTGAGGTCTGCCCAATTGGTTATGTTCCAATCAATGCCAAATCGAGATGTTATCTTGGGGAACAGGGCTCGAGCCGAGCTGGATGCCTTGGTGATGATGAACTTGCTTTCATCAATCTGCGTGACCAAGAGTGAGTGAGTGAGTGAGTGAGTGAGTGAGTGAGTGAGTGAGTGAGTGAGTGAGTGAGTGAGTGAGTGAGTGAGTGAGTGAGTGAGTGAGTGAGTGAGTGAGTGAGTGAGTGAGTGAGTGAGTGAGTGAGTGAGTGAGTGAGTGAGTGAGTGAGTGAGTGAGTGAGTGAGTGAGTGAGTGAGTGAGTGAGTGAGTGAGTGAGTGAGTGAGTGAGTGAGTGAGTGAGTGAGTGAGTGAGTGAGTGAGTGAGTGAGTGAGTGAGTGAGTGAGTGAGTGAGTGAGTGAGTGAGTGAGTGAGTGAGTGAGTGAGTGAGTGAGTGAGTGAGTGAGTGAGTGAGTGAGTGAGTGAGTGAGTGAGTGAGTGAGTGAGTGAGTGAGTGAGTGAGTGAGTGAGTGAGTGAGTGAGTGAGTGAGTGAGTGAGTGAGTGAGTGAGTGAGTGAGTGAGTGAGTGAGTGAGTGAGTGAGTGAGTGAGTGAGTGAGTGAGTGAGTGAGTGAGTGAGTGAGTGAGTGAGTGAGTGAGTGAGTGAGTGAGTGAGTGAGTGAGTGAGTGAGTGAGTGAGTGAGTGAGTGAGTGAGTGAGTGAGTGAGTGAGTGAGTGAGTGAGTGAGTGAGTGAGTGAGTGAGTGAGTGAGTGAGTGAGTGAGTGAGTGAGTGAGTGAGTGAGTGAGCGCCCCTCTCTGATTAGTGTCTCCACGTGGCCAACCGATGGATGTCGGACAGCCATGGTCAACAACACTTCCATACAAAGAAGCAGAAATGAATATGTATACCGAAGATGTCTTTTTAGGGAATTAATAGGTGAGGCTACAGGCATGTATAATTGGATACAGAGGTGATATTTCACACATATATAATTGGATAGAGAGGTGAGGTCTCAAGCATTTATAAATGGATAGAGATTTGATGTTACAAGCATATATAATTGGACAGAGAGGTGATATTTCATACATATGTAATTGGATAGAGATGTGAGGCTACAAGCATTTATAATTGGATAGAGATTTGATGTTACAAGCATATATAATTGGATAGAGGTGCGGTTACAAGCATATATAATTGGATAGAGAGGGGATATTTCATACATATGTAATTGGATAGAGATGTGAGGCTACAAGCATTTATAATTGGATAGAGATAAGATGTTACATGCTTGTCTGAATGGATAAATAGGTGAGGCTGCAAGCATATATAATTGGATAGAGAGGTGATGTTACAATCATTTATAAATGGATGGAGATTTGATGTTAAAAGCATATATAATTGGATAGAGGTGCGGTTACAAGCATATATAATTGGATAGAGATAAGATGTTACATGCTTGTCTGTATGGATAAAAAGTTGAGGCTACAAGCATTTATAATTGGATAGAGGTGCGGTTACAAGCATATGTGATTGGATTGGTAGATGTCGTTACTTGCATATATTATTGAATAAATTAGTGAGGTTGCATTTATGTATGCTTGTATAAATAGGTGAGGTTACAGGCATGTATAATTTTATGAAAGTGAGGTTACAAGCATCATAATTAGATAGAGATGTGATTTTACATGCAATGTATAAGTTTTAGGTGATGTAACATGCATATATAATTGAAGAAATATGTGATGTTAGACGCATGTATAATTGGATGGATAGGTGAGGTTAAAAGCATGTATAATTGGATGGACGGGTGAGGTTACAAGCATGTATAATTGGATGGAGAGGTGGGGTTAAAAGCATGCATGGTTGGATGGAGAGATGAGGTTACAAGCATGCATGATTGGATGGAGATGTGAGGTTACAAGCATGCATGATTGGATGGAGATGTGAGGTTACAAGCATGCATGATTGGATGGAGAGGTGAGGTTACAAGCATGCATGATTGGATGGAGAGGTTAGGTTACAAGCATGTATGATTGGATGGAGAGGTGAGGTTACAAGCATATATGATTGGGTGGAGAGGTGAGGTTACAAGCATGTATGATTGGATGGAGATGTGAGGTTACAAGCATGCATGATTGGATGGAGATGTGAGGTTACAAGCATGCATGATTGGATGGAGAGGTGAGGTTACAAGCATGTATGATTGGATGGAGATGTGAGGTTACAAGCATGTATGATTGGATGGAGAGGTGAGGTTACAAGCATGTATGATTTGATCGAGAGGTGAGGTTGTATAATTGGAGCTGATGTTATGCATATGTAATAGGAAAAGTGGTGTTACCGACATGTTAAATGATAAGAAAGGTCATGTTATGGTTCAGGTTAAAGCATATACAAAGTGCATGCACATCGTTACTCTTAAACAATTTAAGGGAGTATGTAGCACCACACTGGAACTCATCAATGACAGAAAACATCACATAACCGCCATAATACTATGTGGTATTAGCAGATTAACACAACCTTCAAAGTATCTTACAGCCAATCAGTGCACAATTGTCAGAAGGATCCAAACGTTTTGGCAAAGGTTTATTTGTTTGTTGTTTAACGCCAAATAATCCAGCTGTATGACGACGGCCTGTAAATAATCGAGTCTGGACAAGACAATCCAGTGATTGACATCATAGGCATCGATCTTCCCATTTTGGGATACGATGATATGCATCAACCATGTCAGCGAGCCTGACCACCCGATCCCGTTAGTCGCCTCCTTCGACAAGAATGGAATCCTGAAGACCTATTCGAACCCGGATCTTCACTGGGCTATAACTTCGTATATCGCATACGTAAATAATATGCCTGTTTTTGAAAAGTTAAAATTATTTGTCTACAAAGAATTATATGTGAGGCAACAACCCCTGTCTGAACAGGGAACTTGAACGTAAAGTGTGAACACATACAACGCACTTTCCCCAGTGAACGTAATCAATGTACAATACTTCAAACAGCCAATGCTGTCAACCTGATACCTTATTGCTTCTATACAGTTCCGGGCAAAAGAAAGTATACACCTATGTTTGCTGATTATTGGATTTGATACGGGAATCATAGACCTCAAGCTTCGGCGACTGTTTTCAGCGAGTTACGTTTTGATAACATTTGTAATGTTTTGATCAAATCCACTTTTCAAGTTTATATTTTCTTTTGCCCGATACTTTAGTATAGTATTCTTATATGTGTGCCAATAGCCTCGCGTACAGAAATAAAAGACTTGAATTGAAAACATGCACTGTTCCTTAAAAAACATATATATCCACTTATACATACATGATATATCACCTTTCTTTCCAATAATATACCAATGTGACATCAACTATGCAACCAATTATTTATGACATTAAAGAAGAAACGGTCTTTACCGCACACTTTAAAAATAATTTAACAAGATCCAACACGCTACCTGCCATATTCCTCCATCATAGCCATGTCTGTAGGTCTTAGCGTCTGTTCCATCGTGAGTCTCCACGTAGGCCAGGCGTCTGAGGAACAGCTTGTCGTGAGAGAAGGTACAAGATTCCCGGATCCTGCTCACCACAGCTTCGACAACCTCTTCCCCAGATGTTCCTGGAACTCGAGTCTGATCCTGGCCCAACGCCAGCCCAAGCAGACCCACCGAAATAACGAACACCGATATCATATGTACTGTACAGTGAGAACAAGGACTAAATAATGATGCTTAAGTATATTAAGAACTAGATCCTTGATATAAGACAGCAGACAGGGAAGAAGCGTACCCAGCAACATCAGCATCTGTAATTGATGTAAGATAAGTACATCTCTTCCAGGAAAGACATAATGACTAAGAGGTGACTAACAGGTCAAGCGGATACCTGTTATATCGCGAAACTGGTCGTGGGATTGTTCTGAGTGGGCGCAACCTAGCTAGGTAACTGGGGTGTTCGAAGCAAACATGTGTAGCCATTGCGGATTAGCACAGTTGATGTCATGGTGTTCTCATAGGGACATTTCATTGTTCATAGTCTCATGGCTTTAAACACCCTTGATGACAAGGACTCGGTGCAGTGTGCGACAACAACGAGAGACTGTGTACACGTTGGAGGAATGTGTATGTGGTTGTGTATGACAAACTGGTAACTCCCATCATTAAATTGATATAGAACGCAATTTCTCTTACAGAGGGAAAATTATGGAATACTGTAAGGGACATTCTCGCGATCTCGCATTCTCGTGTTTTGGGCATATTTACCTCGTTTCCAAAGGTCGAGATCGCGAGAATGCGAGATCGCGAGAATGTCCCTTACAGTATTCCATAGAAAATGGCTTCCCGGAATACGTGCCAGTGGGAATGTTTTCACGTCATGTTCCAACACAGAACTTAAAAACAGATCGGCGACGAAAATATTATCTGATATGATTAATGCATATATAGGGGTTGGTTTTGTTGGAGACGTCATATAATTTGGTCACTGTTTCAAGAAATTCATTCTTTCTCGGACAGAAGGCGTCGATTTTTTAAATACATATTTAAGGGCATCAGGACGCTCATAATAAATACGTTTTTGTATAACATGAACGCAGCGTGTTCATGCATGTAGTCAGAGCCGATTAGACCCGTGAAGATCCGGGGTAGAATAGGTATTCAGCAACCCATTCTTGCCGTAAAAGGCGACTATCCTTGTCGTAAAAGGCGACTAACGGGATCGGGTGGTCAGGCTCGCTGACTTGGTTTGAAGCACGTCATCGATCCCAATTGCGTGGATCGATGCTGATGATATCAATCACTGGATTATCTGGTCCAGACTCGACTATTTACAGACTGCCGTCATAAAGCTGGAATATTGCTGAGTGCGGCGTTAAACAACAAACAAACAAACCAATCAGTGCCGATTAAATTAGGGATGAGATGGTCCAGCTCTGTGACTAGACTGATTGCGTGTCATTGTAAGCCGTAGACGTGGCATGTTGCTCATGCTTTCAGTCACTGGTTTGTCTGGTCCAGACTCGATTATTTTTAGGAACCTTGGATATAAGTGGACTATTGCTAACTGTGTCGTCTACAACAAACTCAACATTAAATAGAGACGGCCCAGTGGCCATTCACATATGGACGTGCTCGCAGTCGTTGATCCAGTGCATCCCATAAATGTTCGATTGGGTTTAAATCTGGAGAGCCGGAGTGCCAGGCAGGACCTGGATGTTGTGATTCCTGGAAAAGGCTATTGTCATTCTTGCAGTGTCGAGCATTGTCTTGTTGGAAAATGACTTTCGCTTGTTGCATAATGGGAAGGACGTGTGGCCAAAGAATCGCTGCGCCTTTAAATTCCCCAGAACGTGCACCAATTCTGTTCTACCAGTGTGGGAGATGGCTACCCACATCATTACACTACCACCACCAAATCTGTCCACTTCCTGTATGCAGTTTCGTGAATGACGTTCCCCTCGGCGCCTGTAAACACGACGTCTATCGTCCGCACGACGAAGCATAAAACGTGACCTCCACCGCAGTTGTGACCATACTCTGTGACCTTGACATCATTAACGCCGCAAGCCGACGATGCAGGTCCGCCAAAATCACACCTCAAACTGGTCGTCTAGCGATAAATGCATTCAGCGCGTAACCGGTTCCACACTGTTGGGCTGATATCAAATCGCAAATCCAGTATTGTTGTAGAGTTGGCCGTAGTGGTTCACGTGAGTGACGTAGCCGTATGAATCTGTCCTCTGCTAGAGTAGTGATGCATGGTCGACCGGATCTGGGAAGGTCCCGTGTTGTCCCGTGTGTATGATAACGGTTCAACGGTTTTGTAATGGTGCTTGGTGCTACGTGGAAAAAAAACCCTGGCTACAGCTGAAGATGACTTTCCTGTCCTATTTCGTCAGTCGTGGCATGTTTTCGCTGTTCAGTTGCTGTAAGATTTGTTAGGGCATGTAAACGAAAACCCAATGTTTTTATAGCCTTACTAGTGATGTTGCATTTGCATGTTGTATTGGTGTGTTTCGGCGCCTGGCTCTCACGTGGTTGTGTGTTTACGATTTTTCCATCTTTTAACCAAATCTCTGCAGTACCTCATTCTTTCGACACAAATCAACCCGTGCAGACATTACCAATTCATTTTAGGACCCGTGAATATTCCGTAAAAGGCGACTATGCTTGTCGTAAAAGGTCTTAGACGTTTACCACTTCTGTGAAACTCAAGACTGGAACCCATGCTTGCCGTAAAAGGCGACTATGCTTGTCGTTGGAGGCGACTAACGGGATCAGGTGGTCAGGCTCGCTGACTTGGTTGATGCATGTCATCGTATCCAAATTGTGTGGATCGATGCTCATGATGTCAATCACTGGATTGTCTGGTCCACACTCGATTATTTTACAGACCGCCGTCATATAGCTGGAATAGTGCTGAGTGCGGCGTTAAACAATAATTAAACAAAACAAACAATTCATTTTGGGTATTAATTTTGTATGGATGTCTACAACACTCTGTCAGATATTCACGAATTTACTACTATAGCGTTTCTTCTTTTGCAGAGTATATAGACTCCAGTGCTCGTGTGAGCAGGACTGACACAGTCGTCTGAGGCGCAACAAATCGTTGTGCAGAGTTGCGGCCCTTAGGCGTGCCAGAAACCTGTGATTGTGGGTTCATGTTGGAAGTGCAGTTCATTGACTCACCTCAGTGAAAAATATTCAAGGCTGCTGACACTTAACAATTGGCGTCCACTTGTGTGAGTTCATTTCAGTAGGAACTGTTTTGAGTGAGGTTAAATTGTCACGTGTCATTGACAGGCCCGGAGGAACACGTTCTGTTTGCATATCATATAAGCTATTCTTGGCATGATTGCAAATGGATTATTTGTAAACAATCAAGGCCCCATTACACAAAACAACCTTAGCTGAGGTGAACCTTAACCACTACGGTTAGAATTAGTGAGTGAGTGTGTGAGTGGGTGAGTTGGGGTTAACGCCGCTTTTAACAGTATTCCAGTTATATCGCGGCGTGTCAGCTTAATGTGGGAGGAAAGCCCGAAGTGATGCAGGTCTCGGACGTTTACCACTTCAGTGAAACCCACGAGCACGGGTATGGTGCTGACAAACCTAGAAACATAATTGGGGCGAACCGGGATTCGAGCCCACAATCATAGGTTTCTGGCGTGCCCAAGGGACGCAACTCTGCACAGCGAATCGCGGCGCCTTAGACGACTGGGCCACCCGTGCCCCCCGGTTAGAATTAAGGTGACCTAGTCTGAAGTTACGCCCGTTTCGGTAAGCAGCCCCAGCGGGTGGCTGGCAACTGGGATGGCCAACCTTGGCGCTGAGGTTGCAACCATCAGGCTGTATGACATCGCGTTCTGAAACCATTACTGGACATGTTGTTTAAAACAAGTCAGTTTAGGATGTCTTTGCCTGTTTCTGTTTGTGTGTCCTGATGTTAAATCCGATTTACATAATCGTCAAATGGAATTTCTGAACATGAACGGTTACCAAATTATCGCTTACTTCCATAATTCCATCCATTGTGATGTACCTTTCTTGATGGCATGCCAACGTGTTGTTTAAAATCCACGTGTCAGAGCTGTATTTGATTAATCCTTGATCAGATCATCTAGCACAGCAATATAAACAACACAGAGTTGTCCTACCAAAAAAATGAATCAAATCAAGGAAAAAATCTCATGACAAAGTGGAGTCGACAGTGTATCTGAATGTCAACACACATTTCTTGATGAAGTCAATGTTCTTTGTATAGACCCGTGGAGATTCCGGGGTAGAATAGGTCTTCAGCAAGCCATGCTTGCCGTAAAAGGTTACTATGCTTGTCGTAAAAGGCGACTAACGGGATCGGTTTGATCAGGCCCGCTGACTTGGTTGATGCATGTCATCGATCCCAATTGCGTGGATCGATGCTCATGATGGCAGACACTGGATTGTCTGTTCCAGACTCGATTATGTACAGACCGCCGTCATATAGCTGGAATATTGCTTAGTGCGGCGTTAAACACCAAAACCAACCAACTGTATAGAGAATATCAGGCCTAGGGGATGACAATTCTCAAACACGGGTAGAAATACCGGTTGTTACTTCATGTACAATAAACGGCCCTAAATATACATTCTCAATGCACTGCAGATATCGACTCAATCTTACCTTACTTATATTTCCTTACACCCTTATTTTTATACTTTAATTGTTAATTCTGACCAGGTATTAGCAGTACATTCCCTTGTATTAAGACATGTTAAAGCTACAGTGAGTGAGTGAGTGAGTAATGTTTTACGCCGCTTTTAGCAATTTTCCAGCAATATCACGGCGGGGGACACAGGAAAAATGGGCTTCGCACATTGTACCCATGTCGGGAATCGAACCCGGGTCTTCGGCGTGACGAGCGAACGCTTTAACCACTAGGCTACCCGACCGCCCTGTTAAAGCTACAGCCTTCGTTTAACAGATACCGTTTTCATCGGGTAATAGACCCGTAAAGATCCGGGGTAGAAGAGGTCTTCAGCAACCCATGCTTGCCGTAATAAGAGACTAGGCGACTAACGGGATCGGGTGGTCAGGCTCGCTGACTTGGTTAATGCATGTCATCGTATCCTAAGTGTGTAGGTTGAAGTTCATGATGTCAATCACTGAATTGTCTTGTCCAGACTCGATTATTGCAACAACTACAATGAATATTTGAATCACTGGTCAATCTTGATGTGGGAGGCCTGAAGCAATGCAGTCACGGGGAAAGGGTTGGGTGCTGAACATTACAGAGTCATAATTAGGGGTAGTTAAAGCCCCGTGAAGATGCTTGTCGTAAGAGGCGAATAACGGGATCGGGTGGTCAGGCTCGCCGATTTGGTTTATGCATGTCATCGTATCCCAATTCCGTAGGTCGATGCTCATGATGTCAATCACTCGACTGTCTTGTCCAGACTCGATTATTGCTCAGGGGGCGTTAAACAAAAAATAAAAATAAACAAACAAACAAACAAACAATAGATCTTTAAGGAACATCGATGATCTCTTCGCGTTAAGTGATATCGTATTTAATGGCACTTCCAGTTAATGGAGTGATCTTAAGTTTTCTGTATTTCTCGTAATACGAGTATTCAGGATTATTATAAACATTGTTCAGTGAAACTCCGATAGCCAAAAAAGTCCATTCAAGACTGTACACTGAAACAATAATACTACGTGCCAATGGTTCATTAATATGGATATTTATAAATCGATCGGGAAGGTACGGGGTTTCGCTGTACAGACGTCAACCAATAATCAATCCATCTGGAACACATTGTAGAAGCTCCTCGTGCCAAAACTCATTCCCAGGACAAATCTGTTCGAAACCATTTCCGTACTGGTCACAATGAATGTACCTTTGTCTGTCAGTGGGATGAGCGTAGAAGAACACATCTCCGTTGTTCCGATGTGGTCGGCATGGGTTGGGGATCAAATCAAAGATCAGTTCAGTCTGGTTAATGATCACATGCTCGAAACTGCAAATGAAATCCAGTTCGTCCCATACCTTCCCGGCATCGCACTGTTTGATGAAGCCCACGTTTGGAAAGTTGGAGCAGTCAATGTACTTCGTTTTGTCGGGAGGGTAAGGGAAAAGGAAAATACCCTCCGCCAGATGTTCTTTGGTGCATGGGTTGCCTGGAAGGAAGGTTGTAGGTTCGAAAGTAGTGTCTGCAGTAGTTGTGGTTGAAGGTGTTGTTGTAGTTGGGGTTGGGGTTGGGGTTGGGGTTGGGGTTGTTGTTGTGGTCGTGGTTGTGGTCGAGGTGGTGGTTGTTGACGGTTCTCCAATGACACAGTTCATGGTGCTAAGGTCGTAGACGTGGTGGGGTGGACATTGAAAAACGGCGTCGGTTCCGTTGCTGCCGCAGTAGATGAACTTTGTCTGGTCCAGGGGATGCGGCTTGTTGGTAGGGGCTCCGGGCTTGCATGGATTGAGGATGCTGTCTGTGAAGAATAAGAGACAGTATATAAGTCATTCACGCCTCATATTATGCACATAGCAATATTTCAGCTGTGTGAGGCGGCCTTTAAATAATCACTACCAGACAAGCGAATGGGTAGGTTCTATACCATTTGTCAGACACCCCATGACCAGTTGTCAGACACCCCATGACAAGTTGTCAGACACCCCATGACCAGATGTCAGACATCCCATGACAAGTTGTCAGACATCCCATGACCAGTTGTCAGACATCCCAAGGCCAGTTGTCAGACATCCCATGACCAGTTGTCAGACACCCCATGACAAGTTGTCAGACACCCCATGACCAGATGTCAGACATCCCATGACAAGTTGTCAGACATCCCATGGCCAGTTGTCAGACATCCCATGACCAGATTTTAGACACCCTGTGGCCAGTTGTCAGACACCCAATGACAAGTTGTCACACACTCCATGGCAAGTTGTCAGATACCCCATGACAGGTTGTCAGACACCTCATGACCAGCTGTCAGACACCCCATGACCAGTTGTCAGAAACCCCATTGCCAGTTGTCGGACAACCCATGACAAGTTGTCAGACATCCCATGACCAGTTGTTAGATATCCCATGACAAGTTGTCAGACATCCCATGACCAGTTGTTAGACATCACATGACCAGTTGTCAGACATCCCATGACCAGTTGTCAGACATCCCATGACCAGTTGTCAGACATCTCATGGCCAGATATTAGATATCCATGGCCAGTTGTCAGACATCCCATGACCAGTTGTCAGACATCCCATGACCAGTTGTCAGACATCCCATGACCAGTTGTTAGACATCCCATGACCAGTTGTCAGACATCTCATGGCCAGATATTAGATATCCATGGCCAGTTGTCAGACATCCCATGACCAGTTGTCAGACATCCCATGACCAGTTGTCAGACATCCCATGACCAGTTGTCAGACATCCCATGACCAGTTGTCAGACATCTCATGGCCAGATATTAGATATCCATGGCCAGTTGTCAGACATCCCATGACCAGTTGTCAGACATCCCATGACCAGTTGTCAGACATCCCATGACCAGTTGTTAGATATCCCATGACAAGTTGTCAGACATCCCATGACAAGTTGTCAGACATCCCATGACCAGTTGTCAGACATCCCATGACAAGTTGTCAGACATCTCATGGCCAGATATTAGATACACCATGGCCAGTTGTCAGATATCCCATGACCAGTTGTCAGACATCTCATGACCAGATATCAGACATCCCATGACCAGTTGTCAGACATCCCATGACAAGTTGTCAGACATCCCAAGGCAAGTTGTCAGACATCCCATGACAAGTTGTCAGACATCTCATGACAAGTTGTCAGACATCCCATGACAAGTTGTCAGACATCCCATGGCCAGTTGTCATACATCCCATGACAAGTTGTCAGACATCCCATGACAAGTTGTCAGACATCCCATGACAAGTTGACAGACATCCCATGACAAGTTGTCAGACATCCCATGGCCAGTTGTCAGATATCCCATGACCAGATATCAGACACCCCATGGCCAGTTGTCAGACATCATTCAAGGTTATGTCACTCATATAGCAACGTATATGCACGTATATGTGTGACTGCTTGTGCTGGCCTGGACTTATGCCGGTTGGACAGTGCTCGCCCACTGAGATGTCCCAGCCGATCAGTCCCCGCTCAATGCCGGGCGCCAGGCAGAGAATCAATGACTATCATCTCTTAACGTCATTTGGTATGGCGCGGTCAAGGGTCACCACCGACCTTCCGCTCTCCGGTTGGGTCGGGGTGGCTTGGGGAATTTCTTATATTCAGCCTCTTTCGTTTTGTGTCGGGAATTGAACTTTTGTAAGAATGTCGATTCATGAATATCTGACCAGTTTGTATTTATATATCGTGTAATCGTCACTATGAAACAAGTTTTCAACTGTGTGGCGTCCAAGTATTTCTACTGACCAATCACATTGCAAAACCGCTAAAATGCATATGTTCAAATGAGGGAGTTGTTACATTTTATCTTATTACCTTTATTGTATCACGGAGCATAGATCGGTTATTGCACTAGTTACATTGGGGAGATAGGAACTGGTAGATGTCTGTCACGGAGCACAGATCGGTTAGTGCACTACTTACACTGGGGAGATAGGAACTGGTAGATGTCTGTCACGGAGCACAGATCGGTTAGTGCACTACTTACATTGGGGAGATAGGAACTGGTAGATGTCTGTCACGGAGCATAGGTCGGTTATTGCACTACTTACATTGGGGAGATAGGAACTGGTAGATGTCTGTCACGGAGCATAGATCGGTTATTGCACTACTTACATTGGGGAGATAGGAACTGGTAGATGTCTGTCACGGAGCACAGATCGGTTATTGCACTACTTACATTGGGGAGATAGGAACTGGTAGATGTCTGTCACGGAGCATAGATCGGTTATTGCACTACTTACATTGGGGAGATAGGAACTGGTAGATGTCTGTCACGGAGCATAGATCGGTTATTGCACTACTTACATTGGGGAGATAGGAACTGGTAGATGTCTGTCACGGAGCACAGATCGGTTAGTGCACTACTTACACTGGGGAGATAGGAACTGGTAGATGTCTGTCACGGAGCACAGATCTGTTAGTGCACTACTTACATTGGGGAGATAGGAACTGGTAGATGTCTGTCACGGAGCATAGGTCGGTTATGTCGCTACTTACACTGGGGAGATAGGAACTGGTAGATGTCTGTCACGGAGCATAGGTCGGTTATGTCGCTACTTACACTGGGGAGATAGGAACTGGTAGATGTCTGTCACGGAGCATAGGTCGGTTATGTCGCTACTTACACTGGGGAGATAGGAACTGGTAGATGTCTGTCACGGAGCATAGGTCGGTTATGTCGCTACTTACACTGGGGAGATAGGAACTGGTAGATGTCTGTCTGTCACGGAGCATAGGTCGGTTATGTCGCTACTTACACTGGGGAGATAGGAACTGGTAGATGTCTGTCACGGAGCATAGGTCGGTTATGTCGCTACTTACACTGGGGAGATAGGAACTGGTAGATGTCTGTCTGTCACGGAGCATAGGTCGGTTATGTCGCTACTTACACTGGGGAGATAGGAACTGGTAGATGTCTGTCACGGAGCATAGGTCGGTTATGTCGCTACTTACACTGGGGAGATAGGAACTGGTAGATGTCTGTCACGGAGCATAGATCGCCTATGTCGCTACTTACACTGGGGAGATAGGAACTGGTAGATGTCTGTCACGGAGCATAGATCGGCTATGTCGCTACTTACACTGGGAAGATAGGAACTGGTAGATGTCTGTCACGGAGCATAGATCGCCTATGTCGCTACTTACACTGGGGAGATAGGAACTGGTAGATGTCTGTCACGGAGCATAGGTCGGCTATGTCGCTACTTACACTTGGGAGATAGGAACTGGTAGATGTCTGTCACGGAGCATAGATCGCCTATGTCGCTACTTACACTGGGAAGATAGGAACTGGTAGATGTCTGTCACGGAGCATAGATCGGCTATGTCGCTACTTACACTGGGCAGATAGGAACTGGTAGATGTCTGTCACGGAGCATAGGTCGGCTATTTCACTACTTACACTTGGGAGATAGGAACTGGTAGATGTCTGCCACGGAGCATAGATCGGTTATGTCGCTACTTACACTGGGGAGATAGGAACTGGTAGATGTCTGTCTGTCACGGAGCATAGGTCGGTTATGTCGCTACTTACACTGGGGAGATATGAACTGGTAGATGTCTGTCACGGAGCATAGATCGGCTATGTCGCTACTTACACTGAGGAGATAGGAACTGGTAGATGTCTGTCACGGAGCATAGGTCGGCTATGTCGCTACTTACACTGGGGAGATAGGAACTGGTAGATGTCTGTCACGGAGCATAGGTCGGTTATGTCGCTACTTACATTGGGGAGATAGGAACTGGTAGATGTCTGTCACGGAGCATAGGTCGGCTATGTCACTACTTACACTGAGGAGATAGGAACTGGTAGATGTCTGTCACGGAGCATAGGTCGGTTATGTCGCTACTTACACTGGGGAGATAGGAACTGGTAGATGTCTGTCACGGAGCATAGATCGGCTATGTCGCTACTTACACTGGGGCGATATGAACTGGTAGATGTCTGTCACGGAGCATAGGTCGGTTATGTCGCTACTTACACTGGGGAGATAGGAACTGGTAGATGTTGGTCTGTCACGGAGCATAGGTCGGTTATGTCGCTACTTACACTTGGGAGATAGGAACTGGTAGATGTCTGTCACGGAGCATAGGTCGGTTATGTCGCTACTTACACTGGAGAGATAGGAACTGGTAGATGTCTGTCTGTCACGGAGCATAGGTCGGTTATGTCGCTACTTACACTGGGGAGATAGGAACTGGTAGATGTCTGTCTGTAACAGAGTATAGGTCGGTTAAATTATGTCGCTACTTACACTGGGGAGATAGAAACTGGTAGATGTCTGTCTGTCACGGAGCATAGATCAGCTATGCCGCTACTTACACGGGGGCGATAGGAACTGGTAGATGTTCTTGTAGATATTCGTCACGGAGCAAAGATCGGCTGTGGTACCTTTAACACATATCACCGGAACATCTGGAAAAAAACAACAGATTTTGTGAGAATAGTTTTGTGAGTGAGTTTACGTCACCTTTAGCACTATTACATCAACGTCACGTCTTGGAACGAGGCATGGTCTCATACCATGCATCTATGTTGGGAATCGAACATGGGTTTCGAACCTGATGATATTGCGTTAGACACATTCCTGGCGCCCTCAACCGTAATATATGAAATAAATAAAACGATGTGTGTTCAGTCATTGAAGACCCATTATGATCCGTGAGTTAGAGAATGTTTAGAATTTGAAAAATAAACAAAGCAATTTCTGGATAGTCTATTAGATGTCTGAGATTGTAGGGCGGTATTTCCCACGGGCTGTAGACTCTTCCGTTTCAAATAACTGGTCGGCTGGGAGTCAGTATACTGTGTCTGAGTGGGGTATTCACACACACACACACACACACACACACACACACACACACACACACACACACACACTCACACTCACTCACTCACTCACTCACTCACTCACTCACACACTCACTCACACTCACTCACTCACTCACTCACTCACTCACTCACTCACTCACTCACACACACACACACACACACACACACACACACACACACACACACACACACACACTCACTCACTCGAAAACACACACACACACACACACACACACACACACACACACACACACACACACACACACACACACACACCAGAGGTTCAGGTCTCTGATGGAATGGTGGACATCTATGGTTCGCTAAATAACCCAACACCAAACAAAGCAGACACCGACTTTCTCAGGTAAATTGTAAACTTGCACCCTTCAGCCGAACCAGGATCTGTTTGTAGTCTGTTTTGTACACCCTGAGTGTGATCCTTGGTCTCCCAGTACGTTACCTGTGCTCGTTGGTAAACCTCATGACTGTGTTTGTTGGTAAACGTCATTACTGTGCTTGTTGGTAAACGTCATTACTGTGCTTGTTGGTAAACGTTCACGACGTGCGGTATGGTGGGCTATCCAGTCGTGATTGTGATCCTTGGTCTCCCAGTACGTTACCTGTGCTCGTTGGTAAACACACACTCACGCATGCACGTCGCTATATAAGTGCAATAATCTTTGACGCGACGTTAAACCCAATTTCACCCCACCTCACTTAAATGTTCATCACATTAAAATCGTTCAGCCCGTAACTGTCGTTCGCAAAACCCCGTGTTTATCTTGTCGAGGTTGCATGATCAGAAAACACACCCCAACTATCACTTTCGAGTGAGATTATTTGGATTATTATTTGGATTAGACCATGTATTCGCTGGTCATGGAGGAATGTATTCTCGATGATGATTCGCCTACAGGGCATTTTACTCACACGGTGCAACCCACTCCAGGTCGCCGACTGTTATGGTGTATTTGCCAGCACAACGATGTCCTGATGTGGTGACATTCAGATACAGCGCTCCCTGATCTGCATTCAGAAGCATCACACACGGGACTCCTGGTAGGGCGGTACTGTAAGGAACGTACACTGATATCCGTCATCATGGCAGACTGTTGAGTAATGACTGGATAAATAACTCGAATGCGTTAATTCAGGAACTAGAATCAACAGTGTCTTGTTTGTTTGTTGTTTAACGCCACACGCAGTAATATTCCAGCTGTATGACGGTGGTCTGTAAATAATCGAGTCTGGACAAGACAATCCAGTGATTGACATCATGAGCATTGATCCACACAATTGGGATACGATGACATGCATCAACCAAGTCAGCGAGCCTGACCATCTGATCCCGTTAATCGCCTTTAACGACAAGCATGGTCGCCTTTTGCGGCAAGCATGGGCTGCTGAAGACCTATTCTGCCTCGTATAAATAAGGACCGCCTACGTGGTCTTGTGGTAGAGCGTCCGCCCTGAGAGCGAAAGGTCCGGGGTTCGATCCCCGGCCGCGTCATACCAAAAGACGTTAAAAGATGGTACTTGTTGTTATCCAACCTCGCGCTCTGGCATTAGGGGTATAAAAAACAAGCCTTGTCGGCTTGAGTCAGTATATTGTGTCTGCGTGAGGTATCCAAGTTAGACACACACACACACACACACACACACACACACACACACACACACACACACACACACACACACACACACACACACACACACACACACACACACACACACACACACACACACACACACACACACACACACACACACACACACAATTGCAATAATCTTGAATGCGATATTAAACCGTATTTCACCTCACCTCACCTGTGAAAACTGTTGACAGCTATGTTGGGCGACTGATACGTTGACGATCCATATATATCCACTTCGCCATTTTCCACGCTAACCTGAAATGACAGTCATCTCATGTTAAAGAACCTAAATTAAGAACATACGAAAATATATTTTTTCACTCATGTTCTAAGTAGATAAGTTCCTATGGCGATTGTGTGAGTGAGTGAATGTTGTTTTACGCCACCAGTACCTCAAATACGTCATTAATGCCTGTGAATAATCGAGGCTAGGTCAACTGCGGAAAGCATGAGCACGTCCACGCCATTGGGGTGCGATGATACACAGCCAGCCAGCATATACATCCTCATCATTCCGCTTTTACCACAGTCAAGCATGTAATACAAGGGACCACTTCAGACCATGGGTTAATTACCTATGAAAATTGCATTTTAAAATAACGAACAATATTCTTTTATGAAACTGAAACATTTGATCGATGGAATGTACAATAATGTCAGTGATACAGTATATTACTTAAACGTCTAAGACCAGCTTCATTGCAGGCTATCCTCCAACATTAAGCTGACACGCCGTGATATAACTACAAACTGAAAATGTAACCTCAGTCACCTGAAAATCCAAGATGGCTACCTTATTCCAAGATGGCCGCGCGTTGCCACAAAGATTATCGATAAGCGAGATACAGATGGTGAAGGTGAAAATTGGATGCAGTGTATTAATTTTAAGATAATGGAAATATTATACACTGGATAAACGAGGATAAGAATTCATATGCTTTCTTGCTAGGTTCAAATTGGTTACAATTTCTCCTATGTCCGTGTTACCGTGACTTGAGTGGTTGGACCGTCTGTAAGAATCTGGTACAGCTCATCCTTAGAGCAAGGTAGGGTGTAGGTCCCTGTCTTCAGAACCGCCGGTGCTGTCAACATCAAGAGAAATCAATATGACCTGTGTTACGAGAAGAAACTGTTGATGTAAACCGACAGAATGTCTTGACATATGCGGATACATTTCTCTCGGATTCCCAAGTTCCACTGGCCAACCTGGGTTTTGTTGGTATCTCATCCCAAATGAGAGAGGGAGAGAGAGAGAGAGAGAGAGAGAGAGAGAGAGAGAGAGAGAGAGAGAGAGAGAGAGAGAGAGAGAGAGAAGGGAGAGAGAGAGAGAGAGTTTGGAAGTCAACTTTAAATTTTGAACTCACCTGACTGTTCCTGCAAATGATGACACTGAATGTGGTCAAAAAGTTCGAATCTGATTTAAATATGGACGCCAGGGCAGCCATATTGAATTTAAAAGCTATTTATTGCCATTACTTGTTCATGACTGCTGAAAATGTACTTGAATTATCTTAAATCCTCTCAAAATGTATTTTATTTTATAATAAATATTTCCCCTTATGAATATATAATATTTACTTCAAATCACTGGAATTTTAGCGGTTTTTTGTGAACCAACTGAAAAAGGTTATGGCATAAGATAACGGAAATTTCTCCTTGGAAGGTATATCAGGCTCAAAGTTGAAACTTTGTGTATACATGTTAAGTAAATATGGCTTAAGCATTGCAACAATATTCTATGATTGTACCTTCATTCTTGTATATTTGGGAACATTGTCGAAATTTTGTAACTTCTTTTGTATGTGTGTTAATACCTTTGTCCCCTGTACTTATGAACAATTATTTTGAATGGCAATGCTGACAGCAACTTGTTGCGACAGTCTTTGTTAACATTTTAACTTGCAGACTTCTTTTCCAGTCCAGCTTAAGTGCCGTGGTAATTTTTTGAAAATATTAAAATCTAACATATATTTTTGGATCTTAGGATGGGTTGCCCTTTCTTCAATGTTTACCCTTTTGGCGAACACCTGGTGTCATCACTGATTTTCAGTTATCCATTCATATAGTTTTCACCGCTGTTTTGCCTTTTGCGCGCAATGGAATCTTTTTCGCAGGCTATCAAGACACGTTTGCGTTGGCGCTTTATGTTCAACTGTTTACACAACTCACCAATAGGTGGAATCAGTTACTGACCTCATTCATTTTGATGTATTTTCGTCAGTCCTTTATCTCTTTATCAAACGTGTGAGCAATAAATGCAACAAAACACCATTTTGTATATAATTGTGCCATATGTTAAACATAATTACACGATAGAAATAAAGATTTTGATATTACCGAAATAATGTTGACATAAGGCGACATGACAGTTTCCATAATCACAAGAAATGTATGTTAAACGCATAGTCAATTTTATGATTCCGCAATATAGCCCATTCTGACTCTTATTAAAGAAAAAAATTAAGAAAAAAACCCTTAATTATCCCTGTGTAAAGCTACCCAATTCATGCTTATTCAAATAGGATCACAACTTGCACCGATCCCTGTTACTTTTGTTCACATATGAGTGAGTGAGTGAGTTGTGTTTAACGCCGCTTTTAACAGTATTCCAGTTATATCGCGGCGTGTCAGCTTAATGTGGGAGGAAAGCCCGAAGTGGTGCAGGTCTCAGACGTTTATCACTTCGGTGAAACCCACGAGCACGGGTATGGTGCTGACAAACCTAGAAACATAATCGGGGCGAACCGGGATTCGAACCCACAATCATAGGTTTCTGGCGTGTCCAGGGGACGCAACACTGCACAGCGAATCGCGGCGCCTTAGACGACTGGGCCACCCGTGCCCCCTGTTCACATATGAAAGGACATACCTTTACAAGATCGTTGCTGTATTTCACTGACAAGAGCAGTAAGATCTGAATATCCCGACAACACTATCACATGTGTACACGATGGTGCATTCGCCACGCCCACCAACTCCAGGTGATCCACGTGTCGCCCAACACCAATAGCAAAGATGATGATGCCCTTTTTGCGAGCTCGTCGAGCTGCAGCAATTGTCCTTGTACTTGCGTTGGATTTACCATCAGTTACGAGGAGAATAATCTTGGAGGAACCATTCCGTGAACCCATTGCATCAGTGAAGAGATCTTCAGAAGCAAAGTTCAAGGCCAAGTCAGTTTCTGTTCCACCGCCCGCCTTGGTGACCTTGTCGATGGCGCCAAGAACTTCATCTTTGGCCGTATATTTGATGAAGTCAAACTCGGCTCTGTAACCAGTGCTGAAAGAGATGAAAGCTACCCTCACGTCATTTGGGCCAATTTGAAATATTTTGATCACGTCACGAGCAAATCTTTTAGCACTGTCAAAGTCATCCGCTGAGACACTTCCAGATGCGTCCATGAGAAAAGCCAGATCCAGGTTTGTTCGTGAACAGACTGAAAATAAAATGACAACCTCTTTGATACACTTTCTGTTTGTTAGCCATGCTGTAAAAATGTGTTTAGATCCTAGACACAAACACGTTTCTTGTCTCATTAGTTTGACATGTCTAGGTCTAAACGTGTTTATGATTGTGTTTAACAGCTAAACGTGTTAAGGGTCTAAATGTGGGAAAGACCAATACACCCTTGATATCTTCATACGTATACCTTCATTGTTGGAGGGGGCATGGGTGGCCCAGTCGTCTAAGGCGCCGCGATTCGCTGTGCAGAGTTGCGTCCCTTGGGCACGCCAGAAACCTATGATTGTGGGTTCGAATCCCGGTTCGCCCGAATTATGTTTCTAGGTTTGTCAGCACCATGCCCATGGGTTTCACCGAAGTGATAAACGTCTGAAACCTGCATCACCTCGGGCTTTCCTCCCACATTAAGCTGACCCGCCGCGATATAACTGGAATACTGTTAAAAGCGGCGTTAAACCCAACTCACTCACTCACTCATTGTTGGTAAATTAAGAAAGGGAGCGCTTTCTATGGCTGTTTTAGCGTTTAATGGGGATATCATTCGGCAATAAGTCAAATATGGTTAAGATAATATATCTTGAAATTTGATGTGCAGATCAGATTCAGAGGTACTTGCATAACACATATGTCATCAGGACGAGGTTTAAATACAATAAACCAAGCTGAGCTAGCGGTGACATTGAAAATTGCCATTTGTGACATCAAGTCTCCGTAGCACAGGTGGTAGCGTGAATGACTACAAGTGAAGAGGTTGCTGGTTCGTATCCCGGAGAGGTTTAGGAATTGTCGTGTCCATAAATCTGTAGTTTCTGTATAACTAATAGACCCGTGAAGAATCCGGGGTAGAATAGGTCTTCAGCAACCCATGTTTGCCGTAAAAGGTGACTATGCTTGTCGTAAAAGGCGACTACCGGGATCGGGTGGTCAGGCTCGCTGACTTGGTTGATGCATGTCATCGATCCCAAATGCGTGGAAAGATGCTCATGATATCAATCACTGGATTGTCTGGTCCAGACTCGATTATTTACAGACCGCCGTCATATAGCTGGAATATTGCTGAGTGCGGCGTTAAACAACAAAGCAACCAACCAACCAACTTTATAACTAATAGTATTTTTTCTCATTCAGGAAAGACCAGCTGACAATGAAAGTGTATCTGATTACTACTTAACTTTTTATTTATATCATGCCGACCACACACCTATCCGCCCCTCCCACACCCCTCCCCCACCCCACCCCCACCCATAGAAAGTAAAAGTACCTGCAGTGAAAATCGGGATGAGGGGTGGGGATTATACGGTTCTAGCCCACATTTAGACCTAAGGTTGTAGAAATTACGGGACAAGAAACGTGTTTAGGTTTGTGTTTGGGATCTAGAGTTTGTTTTAATACAATCGGACAAAGTACGTGCCCCTGCATTGAGGACACCAATGATACTATTGTCGCAATATGATAACTTACACGACGTATCATGTGTAGTTTTGGAAATGTTTCGTCAGAGTAATATGGCGAACCGTCCGGCCGAATATATGAAATATCAATACAAACATCGCCATTACAAGACAATTTCACATTTCATGGGAAGCGAGAAACCATATTGCATATTCCGAATATTCATCTATTCAATGAAAGTACTGTACGTATTCATGCTTTATAGTACGGGTATAACGCCTGATTTTCTACCAGAAACCTGTAATTCTAGGTTTATAAAACATTGCATATCTAGGAATGTCAATACAGTCATATTGGTCTAGCGGTGTTCCAACAAAACATAACATTTCATAGAGGGCGGTCGGATAGCCTAGTTGTTAAAGCGCTCGCTCGTCACGCCGAAGACCCGGGTTCGATTCCCGACATAAGTACAATGTGTTAAACCAATTTCTCCTCCGCCGTGATATTGCTGGAATATTACTAAAAGCGGCGTAAAACCATACTCACTCACTAACATTTTATAATTCGTAATAAAATTCGTAAATTCAGCAATAAGCACTTTATATTTTAGACCACATAATGAACATTTAAGTAAATCAGTTTAAAATTAGTCACCGTTACCCGATATGACAGCGTCTGTTGACGAGAGCTCACACACAGGTTGCTCTGATCGTATCGGGGCGGTCGGGTAGCCTAATGGTTAAAGCGTTCGCTCGTCACGCCGAAGACCCGGTTTCGATTCCCGACATGGGTACATTTCTGGTGTCCCCCGCCGTGATATTGCTGGAATATTGCTAAAAGCGGCGTAAAATCAAACTCACTCACATTCTGATCGTATCATCGTCCTCTGCATGCGCACCAACATCCTCACAAATGGATTCAAATGCTATTTTGTCATTGGCTCACACACAATTGTTATTTGTGACATACATGTCACAGTAGTCTTCACGCAGAACACGAGATATTAACATTGCCATTTGCAGTCACAGTATCAGGCTCACGTTGATTGTCCCGCTCTCCTTCGGTTCGCCGCGTCTTGTGTGGCTGTCTATATTGGGATTGTTCGAGAACATTGGCATACGAAGGTCTGGGTGACCACATCGACTGTCTTGAATCTTCAAACGGATTCTCACGAAGGAACACGTTGTATAATTTACGAACAGTCTTTCAACAGCTAGAGTTGCCTTAGATCCTCTGCTTCTTGCCTCTTTGAGCAGGTTCTCGTCGACGTTCTACAAGTCCAGGTGGGAACTGTTCACTGACACTAAACTTAGAACTTCCTATATCTCATCAGAGTTAGAGAATTCAGCCACTATCGTACGGGGTCTGTTTCATTTCGTGGCCCGTTGTAAGAACTCTCACACGGTCAGTCTTTGTGTCACATTTCATCTCTCGCGTAACGTGGTCTAGTGGTAGAGCGTCCGCCCGGAGAGCGGAAGGTCCGGGGTTTGATCCCCGGCCGCGTCATACCAAAAGACGTTTAAAGATGTTACTTGTTGTTACCCTGTCTTGCGCTCGGCATTTAGGGGCTAAAACAAGGACTGGTCGGCTCGGAGTCAGTATACTGTGTCTGAGTGGGGTATTCATGTTAAACTGCGGCATGACATCTTAGGGTGCTAGCACTATAAATCGGCATCAGTCCGGACTTGTACAAGCAGCCACACACACACATACACGTGCATGCACGTCGCTATATAAGCGCAATAATCTTGGACGCGACGTTAAACCCAATTTCACCTCACCTCACCTCTCGCGTAACGACGTCCTTTATAATATAAAATAGGGGTTGTCTCTCAGTTTTCTCACCTTGAGATCCACTACAGCCTCTTTCATACCCCAGGGGCGGTGGGGTAGTCTCGGTGGTTAAAGGGTTCGTTCGTCACGCTGAAGGCCTGGGTTCGATTCCCGACATGGGTCCAATGTGTGCAGCCTATTTCTGGTGTCCCCGGCCGTGATATTGCTGGAATATTGCTAAAAGCGGCGTAAAATCCAACTCACTCACTCTTTCATATCCCTCTGTTGTTGAAACAATGAATCTACATCGTAAAATACATCATCAAGATCCCTACCCATTCTAGCCCATTCCGACGAAGTGTAGTCGAGATGCTCTGTCACCCGCCTTCGTTCTTAGTGCTTTCATTTTGAGTTCTAGGCCTGCTTGGACAAGTGAATCATGCCAGTCAAGTGACGCATCTGATCAAACAATATCTTGAGCCAACTAGTATTATTCGAATCAACACTGAGATCCCGATATGTTCATCAGATGAATTGTTTGATAGGCATTACTTAGAAGTTGACGGATGACAAAGTGGACACAACTTCTCTATTTACTGTAAAGGCGACGTTTCGGTATAGATCATTATACCATTGTCAGGCTTGCTTGACAGGGAGCGGTCGGGTAGCCTAGTGTTTAAAGCGTTAGCTCGTCACGCCGAAGACCCGGGTTTGATTCCCGACATGGGTACAATGTGTGAAGCCCATTTCTGGTGTCCCCCGCCGTGATATTGCTGGAATATTGCTAAAAGCGGCGTGAAACCATACTCACTCACGCACTTGCTTGACAGGTTTAAGAAGCTGTACCGAAACATCGCCTTTACAGTAAATACAGTTGTTGTCTATAAACTTCCATGTTCAGCTGGCTTGGATGCTCCATATCCCGTGCATTTCCCAGTGTTGGGTTAGCAGTTGTTGAGTTACTCCTTGGGAGTTTAGATATGTCGTATTCAGGCTCACTGCACCACGTAGCCCAGCTGGGTCGTGAGCCTGGCAAACACGTCCAAACTGTTTGGCATCGAAGCTCCAACACATTGTCACTGGATGCCCAGTTTTGGCACAAACACCGTATCTTTAGCGACAGGGTGGTTCGATCCTTTTATTAACGTCTTCGCCACCTTCTGGTTTTGGCACAGAGGTCCATCCATTCAGGAAAAACATGGCAAAAATGCGGACCTCTCTTACGAAATGTCACGCTTGCATCCAAAGTACCAAGTTGTCTGAATTCCCATTGTCTTCGGTGCCTTAGGTTTGGTACCTCCCAATCTGTTGACTGACATTGGGAGAGTACCCGGGTTTGCTGCCAGGAATACAGCCCTTCTCACAATCTGGGTAATGCAGAAGGCTGCAGTGTTGGTGAGTGCCCACATTCTCCGAAAAGTTCTCGGTAGGTTCGACTAGGCAGCACTTCCTGGGAGAAGTGTGTAGAGAGGGCAAGGGCCTTGAGCTGATAATGCCTAACCAGCCTGACTCAAACAATTCTAGATTTACAAAGTGCATGAAATTAATGCGCCATCAAGTTAATACGACCCTTCCGACCATTGACCAAAATTGCGTCATGAAATTAATACGAGTAGCATATGAATTAATAAGCAAATGAGAACACCAAGACTGTCGACATATCATCCCATGATATAGGAAAATATACTACACAAAAGAAGTAAAAGAATAATCGATTCTCTCATATAACTATAGTTAATGCGTCATGCCTTGTAACTGAATTACGGTTACGAGGCGTTAATCCCTAATGTTATATTTGTTTACCAATGTTGAGTTGTTTCGCTGCTGTGTAATAGTTGTGAGCCGAGTGGGGGTCATCATGGAAGTACTTCCTGAAGTAGGAACCTTGATTCTCCGCACCCTGCGGGAGGGGTTCGCTAATGGTAGACAGGTAGAGAGCAGCAGCGAGCCCGGAGTACAGAGGCTTTCTGAGATCTGACCACTGAACGGTGCTCCAGTCGATGGCAAACTGTGAGCTGACATCCGAGAACAGGGTGCCAGTGTTCTTGATCATGTTGAACTTGTCCTGGTCGATCTGAGGTGAGGGATGTATTAACAGAAACCTGGTTACCTCGAAATTCGTAAAAATATCGAAAATATATCAATGTCGATATTATTTACCCCTGCAGCCATAGTACGTTCTGAAAAGAGCACGGGTCAAGACACGTGTCGAATAACTCCTTACAAAATGGTTTTAGTGAACTGAGGGAAATGATTTGAGTGATGGACACTGTATAACACGTACAAAAAGATTCAACAATTTGCAATTGACCGACATCTATGAAGGCCGATGGGTATGTTTACGAACAGGAATAACGTTTCCACATGGTACATGCTGTATTCGAGTCGGCGGGGTAGCCAAGTGGTTAAAACGATCGCTCGTGAGTTCGATTCCCCACAAAGGTACTATAAGAGAAAAACCATCACTGGTGTCATCCTAGGTGATGGCTGGGATATTGCTAAATAGAATGCGGCGTCAGTCTCACTCACTCACTCACCTGCCAGATTCCCCCATCATAGCCAGGTCTGTAGGTCTTAGCGTCTGTACCGTCGTGCGTCTCCACGTAGGCCAGGCGTCTGAGGAACAGCTTGTCATCCGGAAACAGACACGACTCTGTGATACTGTTCACCACAGCTTCTGTCACCTCAGACCCAGACGTACCTGGAACTCGAGTCTGATCTTGAACGACGGCCACGCCCAATCCCCAAAGAAGACTGGCCAATACACAATACATCATATGCGACCACGTCACGTCAAATTATACAGCCGAGCCAAAGAATCAATTGACGTGCGTCAATGATCAGGGAACACCACTACTTTCTCAAGTACCATCAGACACCCTCTGGTAAATTCAGGAACATCAACGTAATACGAATGCCTCATTTGGTTAGAACCGACGTCAAGATAACCACTGGTGTTAGCTTCAGGTGACACTAGGTCAGGTTCAGGATTACCGGGGCGTTTGTAGGGTAAGACATCAACCCCAAACCAAACACAACATTCCTGGAAAGAGAAGACACTCGTCTTGAGATGAGTGGTTTTGAATTATGTCGTTTCATTGCAATGGATTCAACCAATCAGGGTGTTTGCTTTAAAGGCAACAAGACTATTGTTTGGGACAAGTTGATGCGTATATGATGATTGCTTGTGGCCATTCCTGTCTAGCCTGGCGAACGCTTCACGTCAAGTGATGTTTCTGTCAAGCAAAGAACCAAACTATCTAAGGTCAAAGGATGGATGTAGTGTGCTTATAAACACGTCAGGAGACTGTCTGTCTGAGGATTTGGAAAAATCTAGCGTCAGCTGTTTTATTCACAGTATACGGTGAGGGCACTGAGGCCCCTATTGACATACCTGGATTGCCAAAGAGCTAGTTTAAGGAATGATTTAAAAAAAAATATATCATGGAAGGTACTCACTTTTCCTGTTTAAAATTTGTGACTATGGGTTGTTTACAGTCAGTATAATAATTATGCCACTAAAGAGTCACAATACTGATACTGCCTTTTTGAAAAATGTCTTCAATTGTTTGTACATTAATATAACGCCGCACAATGTCAGCTATAACACTTCGGCCTGTAAATTATCGAGTTGGTACCAGCCACACCAGTGACCGATATTATAAGCAACGTGCGCTGTATCCTACCAAGTCACCGAGCCTGACCACTCGATCCATTAGTCACCTTGTACGACAGCAACAGGTTGTTGAAAGTTGGAACAACGAATTTTCACAGATAAAACGAGTTTTTAATATTTTCGACTTTTCGATCAAGAATTACTTTAAGATGGAAGGATTAGGTTAGAGGCACTAGGTGGGGCAGCCTAGTGGTTAAAGCGTCCGCTCGTCACGCCGAAGACCCGGGTGCCCATTTCTGATGTCCCCCGCCGTGATATTACTGGAATATTGCTAAAAGCGGCGTAAAACCACAGTCACTCACCCACTCACTCGTGATACTTGAAGACGCCTTTCAATCATAATAACGGATTGGCGAATGTGAAGAACAGCGGTGACTATTTGGGGTACGTGGACTACTGCGTTATTATTGCGATAAGTGTGACTTGTAACTCAACCATTCAACATATTTCAAATTCGCACGCGTTTTCTCATTTATTGCCAATTTACAGATATTTATTCTTTTCAAGACATCAGTATCATTTTAATGATATCAGTGATGTACTGATATCCTTAATTCTATACTGATATCAGTAACGTTTTCATGGTATCGTGAAATTATTTGATAATATTTAAATAATTAATATCTTGAAATGTATCAATAATATTAAGATAATCAATGATATCGTGAAACGATTTGATAACATTAAGATAATTCATAAACCTGAAATGAATTAATACTTCAAAAGAATTAATATAATAAAATGAATTCATGACGATTGTAATTACCACAGTTACAATGAATGATGATATCTTTAATTTTCATTTACTGATATCATTAAATCAGTTAGTCATATGAGTAAATTGCATGCAAATATCAGAAATTAAATTACTGTTATCAATAAAAGAAGAACAGTTTATGAAATTAAGTATCATCAAATCTATGCATGATATCATTAAAACAATTTCAATTAAGAATATATCATTGATAGGTGAGGTGAAATGGGGTTTACCGTCGCGTCCAAGATTACTGCACTTATATAGCGACGTGCATGTACGTGTGTGTATGGCTGCTTGTACTAGTCCGGACTGTTGCCGATTTATAGTGCTAGCTCACTGAGATACCATGCTGCAGTTTAACATGAATACCCCACTCAGACACAGTGTACTGACTCCGAACCGACCAGTCCTTGTTTTAGCCCTTTAATGCCGAGCGCCAGACAAGGTAACAACAAGTACCATCTTTTAACGTCTTTTGGTATGACGCGGCCGGGGATCGAACCCCGGACCTTCCCCTCTCCGGGCGGACGCCCTACCACTAGACCACGGAGGCGGTCAGAAGAATATATGATATCAGTAAATGTGTAATATATCGGTACTAAAGCTCTCCACACATCCATCATGTCATTTGTAGGTTTGTTTGTAGGTCATATGACGCCGGTCTGTAAATAATCCAGTGACTGATATCATGAGCATGGATACGAGGACATGCATCAACCAAGTCAGCGAGCATGACCACCCGATCGTGTTAGTCGCGTTATTAGCTGGAATAATGCTGGGTATGGCGTTGAACAATCACAAATAAATACATGTAACGTGATCAATCATTACAGACCTTGTAAGGAAGCTAACACGTCAAGTTGGCAATGCACATAGACGGTTGATGTTCTGTCAGATTATTAAAGTGAGTGATTGAGTTGTGTTTAACGCCGGTTTTAACAGTATTCAAGTTATATCACGGCGTGTCAGCTTAATGTGGAAGGGAAGCCCCAAGGCTGGTCTCAGACGTTTACGACTTTGGTGAAACCTACGAGCTCGGGTATGGTACTGACAAACCTAGAAACATAATCGGGGCGAACCGGGATTCGAACCCATGATTCCAGGTTTTTGGCGTGCCCAAGGGAAGCAACTTTGCACAGCGAATTGCGGCGCCATAGACGACTTGGGTTTTAATGGTTGGTGTGGTGATATGGTGGCGCATTAGGTCGTAAAAGAGGTCAGGGATCAAATTGGAAATTTGTATTTTGCAGCAAAGGTCACTAATACCAGGAAACACTCAGCTCTGTTGTGCAGACATATACGGATTCTTTGAGACATGCTTCTGTATTTCGACTAATGACAACTTGACTCATGTTGTTCCACTCATCAGTGAGAGCAGCACCGAGTTCATTGAGAGTGGTTGGTGGATTTTGACGTTGACGTACGCGTCTGCCAATGACGTCCCCGGCGTATTCAATGGGGAAAAGCTGAAGACTGAGTGCTGGCCATGGTATGACATGGATGTTTTGCTGTTGAAGAAATTGGGTCATTTTCACCTGGAAAGATGAGACGTTGACGAACACGTTGTGCAAATGGCACGAGGGATGCGATGATTTTGTTTGTTTGTTTGTTGTTTAAGGCCGCACTCAGCAATATTCAAGCTACATGACGGCGGTCTGTAAATAGTCGAGTCTGGACCAGACAGACCAGTGATTGCCACCATGATAATCTATCCACGCAGTTGGGATCGATGACATGCATCAACCAAGTCAGCGAGCTTGACCACCCGATCCCGTTAGTCTTACGACAAGCACAGTCGCCTTTTTCGGGAAGCATGGGTTGCTGATGACCTATTCTAACCCGGATCTTCACGGGTCTGATGCAATGACGTTGTCCCGACAGTATTGACCTGTGAATCTGCCATTGACAATATGGCGCGCAGTTCGGCCAGTCATTGTGATACCACCCCATACCATATTTCTTGAAAAGCGCACTTTGCATTTTTTGTCTATGATGTTAGTAATATTCGTTATCGTTTGAAAGGCATGTTTTCACTTTATAAGTATTTTTAAACATGCAGTCAATTCGTAATTTAATAATCGCGAGGTTTCGTGATTCTTTTTCAAGAAAAGACTAAAGTCAGAACTAGTACGAAGCAGTCACACCCACACCCACACACACCCACCCACCCACACCCACACCCCCACCCCCCCACCCCCCCCACATACACTCTCTCTCTCTCTCTCTGTGTCACACACACATTCTTTCTCACACACACAAACGCACTCTCACACACTCTCTCACTCAAACTGACACACGCAAACACACACACACTCTCTCTCTCTCTGTGTCACACACACACATTCGTTCTCACACACACAAACGCACTCTCGCAACTTCTCTCACTCACACTGACACACGCAAACACACACACACACTCTCAGACTCACACATTCACACACACACACTCACACACATGCACTCTCACACACATATATAGATATATTATGAGATGTCATCCACGCGTAAGAAAACATCACGTCATGTTATTACCCCCGAGAACATTTCACTGTATGACAAGGGGGATGGCTTCAACTTTTCAAAAGTCAACTTTTTATTTATGTCAAGCAATATTCCAGCAGCTCCAGATTTTGCTGTCTTCATGTCACAACGTTAAACAGATCAAATGTTGTTTAATCAAGGTTCCAGGATTCAGGAGGCTTAGTCGTATAAGGCACGCCAGAAACCTATGATTGTGGGTTCGAATCCGGTTCACCCCGATAATATTTCTTGGTTTGTACTGTCCGTGCTCGTGGGTTTCACCAAAGTGGAAAACGTCTAAGACCTGCAACACTTCGGGCTTTCCTCCGAAATCAAGCCGACACGCCGTGATATAACTGGAATACTGGTAAAAACAGCGTTAAACGGCTCACTAACTCATTCTCTCCGACATTTAAGGACTAAGTAAGGATTTCAAACAATTCCATGGTACACATGTAGAGGACATTTCCAAATTTGAAGCATCAGTCACAAAAAGTGATGTCCAGTGCAATTCCCTATTTTGACTTGTACAACATGTTTCCGTGTTTGTGGGGTACCTGCTGTGACAGGTGCCATCGATGGGGTAAGATACGCTCATCGTTTCGCGAACACCTGGTGTCATCACTTATAGATAGTGTTTCATAAACACAAGCTTATTATATAGTTGGAATCGATGGACTCTTCTTTAAGCAGAGTCGCCACGAAATGGCTGAAATATTGCGGATGTGACTTTAAATATTAACTCACTCACTCACATTCAGCAAAGATTTCTTATTATGGAATATGTATGGTTTTGTCGCTTTTAAATTCTTCGCTTCATTCATCCTTTTTGTACACAAATACATTGAATAATTTGTTTAAAAAAAATAAAATAAATAAAATGTACACATGTACAAAAAAACCACATTTTTAAAAACTTAGGATAGATATATTTTATTTATTGTGAAGGGCTTTTTAAAATCTTAGTGGGTGAGTGAGTGAGCGAGTTTGGTTTTAAGACCACTTTAGAAACGTATGTCAGTCATATCACAGTGTGTCAGCTTGATGTGAAAAACTATTAAACCATTGAGCATGGGTATGGTCCTGACAAACCCAACTCTCATACACCAAATAAGCACAACTGCGAATTGAAGCATCAATGAAAACAATTTTATTGATAATTGAATCTTTATCACAATTTGAAAAACATATATAGAGTATATTTTCGATAATAATTCCGGTGAAAGAAACGCAAGTAAGAAAGAATAAAACAAAATTGTGTGTGTTTTCCCAAAGAAAACAAGACTTTTTAAAATTAATTTTTTAAATTGGTGATTCCTTTAGCGAGCTAAAAACAAATAAAGGCACTAAAACAAACACTCAACCAATAACGAAACCCACAGGCAAGCACTGTAGCACAGTCTGGACCCATACCTCGGTTCCCTGGCAATGCTTTTCATAAGCATCGCCGTATTGGTCACAATGGATGAACATGTGCTTATCGCTCGGGTGGGGATAGAAGAACAGGTCCCCTGTATTTAAAGGGTGTGGACAAGGGTTAGGCAAGCTCTTGTCCAAGGTTCTATCGGTGGGGCGTACGACATCTTTGTATGTACAAGTGAGGTCCATCTGGTCCCAGTACTTGTCCTTATCGCAGGACTTGAGATAGCCATACCAGGGCCAGTTGGAACATTCTATGTATTTGGTAGGGTCAGGAGGGTAGGGAAAGAACCGCCCTGTCGCCGACGCAGTGCAAGGGTTGTACGAAAGATGCGGGAAGGTTGGACGTGGAGTTGTCGTTGTAGTTGTGGTTGAAGTAGTTGTAGGGGTCGTAGTTGTAGGGGTCGTTGTTGTGGTCGTTGTTGTGGTGGTAGTAGTGCTGGGCTCTCCGGGAAAGCAGTCATTGAAACGCGGGTCGTACACGTAATGAGAACGACACTGGAACTCGTAGACACCGGTTGGTCCACAGATGAGGAACTTGGTCTGGTCAGTTGGGTGTATCATAAAGCTTGGTCGACCAGGCGTACAGGGATTGTTGAAGTAGTCTGTCAAATAGGTACAGATACATGAAGTCTGTCTGAGTAAGAGGATTAGGTAATGGAGATGGACGTAGTGAAATGGCATCTATATTAAAGTAAAGCTTCAGCACATCTATCTACACAGAATCTGAGTCAGTTTGTAGTTTGTTTCCAACAGAGGTGTCAGCTCTGTTCCAGCTATGTATTGGAACGAGTCTTGACCAATTCGGTGGTTGACACTGTCAGGGTGCGATGGCAGTCAATCAGCCAGGTCACAGCAGAATTTAACCACCCGATCTCCTTCTAGACGACCCTTACGACAAGCACGATGCCCTTGTTTGGGACCTATACCACTGGATTACCCGCAAACTTACTCCACGCTTAGTAAATATACCATTGCAGTTCGTAAATTATGAGAAGACGGTTAGTAAATTTTACTTAGTAAATTAGTGTAACTCTCTACTTAAACCAGTAGTTCTTTGAAATATGGACAGTAATCTCCACTATCTGATTAGTACTTTTTACACATCTACGATACAAAATGTACTGTCTACTAACATATTGGTGCCTGAGTGGACAGTGAAATTCACATAATCAGTTAACTTTACCAACTATTTCCGTCTGTGTGTAATCCAGGGTTCGTTCGTGATTGAGGGGCGTCGTGGAGCCTAGTGGTTAAAGCGTTTTCTCGTCACGCCGAAGACTCGGGTTCGAATCCCGACATGAGTACAATGTGTGAAGCAAATTTCTGGTGTCCCCTGCCGTGATATTGCTTGAATATTGCTAAAAGTCGCGTAAAACCATACTCACTCACTCGTTCGTGTTTGACTCGGTCAGTTGTAGATACTTACACGGGGGTACATAGTAGTGGTAGAAGTGTCTGTATACGTTCGAAATATCGCAAGGTCTGGACGTGTCTCGCTCGACGCATGTGACAGACACACCTGAAACAACAGGATAAATATAATGTGTTTTAATTTAAGAGCAATGTCTCATATAATACTTTGAACCTATTGACATGTATATACGTTATGGGATTTAAATAAGAATTTTTCCAGAGAATACTGAATAAATAATGTGTATCAGGTTAAAATTACAAAAACAAATCTCATTCGATGTTTTGAAGCAGTTTCTGAAAATATGCATCATTTGCATCTCTTTCTGGACACATTCAGCCGGTGTCGACGTCACCACAAACAAGCATACCAGTGTGTATATTAAAGGGCCCATCATTTGATTTTCTAGGTGGTGGTTATTTTTAAAGAAAGTAATATGTTCCTGAAAATGCTTAAGATACACGTGCTGTCTGGGTGTGCAATAGAATTACGGAAAAAATCTGCTTCAAACAAAACTCTCAGTACAGTTTGTTCACTGTTAGGTCCCTAAAACTCTGGACTACGCCAAGTTTATAGTTCTTAAGATTTCTATTAAGAATTATGTACTTGGCTGGACTTTTTCAACGTTGCCGATCTTGATGGTGTAGTTGCCGGTGCAGCCAGTCGGCGGCCCTGTAGGTGTGATGTTGAGGTACAGTGGCTTCAGTTCCTGGTCGATCAGAACCACAGATCCTACACCGACCTTTGAATTGCTGAAAACGAACGAGTTGTGATTCAATGAATCTTATGGCTCATTATTTACAAACTGTTGACAATAGAGTCAATAGAGTCATTCAAATGTTTCAGCAATGATGTGGACGTATGGAATAACAGAGTCATGACGATTACCTTAATTCTATTCACATCTTAAATATAAACTTTGTATGTTTCTTTGTATATTTAGGTATTTAGAAGGTGTGATGTTGAGGTACAGTGGCTTCCTTTCCTGGTCGATCAGAACCACAGATCATTCACTTAGCACGGCAGTGCTGGGACAAAGTCCTAATGCTGTTAGTGAGTGAGTTGGGTATAACGCCGCTTTAAACCGTTACGGTAACTCGGGTATATCACTACGAATCAGCTTAATGTGACTGGAGCCAACCATACCGCAGGTCGTGAACGTTTACAAACGAGCACAGTAATGACGTTTACCAACGGTAATGCATTGGGAGACAAGGGATCACAATCACGACTGGATAGCCCACCATACCGCACGTCGTGAAGGTTTACCAACAAGCACATTAATGACTTTTAACAACAAGCACAGGCAATGTATTTGGAGACCAGGGATCACAATCACGACTGGATAGCCCACCATATCGCAAGTCGTGAACGTTTATCAACACAGTAAAGACGTTTACCAACAAGCACAGTAATGACGTTTACCAACAAGCACAGTCATGACGTTTACCAACGAGCACAGTCATGACGTTTACCAACGAGCACAGTCATGACGTTTACCAACAAGCACAGTCATGACGTGTACCAACGAGCACAGTCATGACGTTTACCAACGAGCACAGGTAACGTACTGGGAGACCACGGATCACACACAGGGTGTACAAAACAGACTACAAACAGATCCTGGTTCGGCTGAAGGGCGCAGGTTTACAATTTACCTGAGAAAGTCGGTGTCTGCTTTGTTTGGTGTTGGGTTATTTAGCGAACCATAGATGTCCACCATTCCATCAGAGACCTGAACCTGGAATAGATGGCTCAGTGGATAATTAAGTGTGTGTGTGTGTGTGTGTGTGTGTGTGTGTGTGTGTGTGTGTGAGAGAGAGAGAGAGAGAGAGAGAGAGAGAGAGAGAGAGAGAGAGAGAGAGTGTGTGAGTGTAAGTGTGTGTGTGTGTGTGTGTGTGAGAGAGAGAGAGAGAGAGAGAGAGAGAGAGAGAGAGAGAGAGAGAGAGAGAGAGAGAGAGAGAGAGAGAGATCGACGGGATCGTCTTTAGTGGGCAACACAGCACTAGCAGTGGAGAAGAGTCTTCTTGTCAGACGAGAGCCGTTACTGCATCTCAACATCAGATGGCAGAGAGAGAGAGTGAGAGGGAGAGAGAGAGAGAGCAAGAGGGAGAGAGAGAGATGGAGAGAGAGAAAGCGAGAGACGAGAGAGAGAGAGAGAGAGAGAGAGAGAGAGAGAGAGAGAGAGAGAGTGTGTGTCTGTGTGTGTGTGGCTTGTACACAGTATATTACAGGTATATCTGGGAGCATTATAAAAGTTAAAGATGTTTGTAAATCTCGGCGCAGTCAGAAGGATTTCAATTATGTCGATATATCGTCTAAAATAGTACAATTATATCACGGTGCAGAGTTAACTTACCGTTACTTGTACCAGCGAGCCATTTGTTACAATCTGGTACAAACCGCCTTTGGAGCAGGCATACGTATACCCGCCAGGTGTAAGAACAGCGGGTGCTACAAAATCAAATGCCATGATGACTATAATTTAACGATGTATGAATGTTAAAATGACGTTAAACACACGTAGGAGTCATCTAAAAAAACAAATGCGTTGTGAAAGTGCACTCGAGACAATGAAGTAATACTATATCCTTTGGAAACAATTGCAAAAATGTGTCTACACTCAGACAGAAACAGATTTCCTGACTTTGAGAAAATAGAATGTCTATTATTGAACAGTCTATTATTTATTGGGGTTTGACACAAATAATCCCAAGATTCAGGCGGAGGTCGAACTGCGAAAGCCGCAACTGATAGTTGATATTTCCTGAAGGTCAACTAAAAGATGTCATCTACAGGAACCAAAATCTCACGAAGTCCCCCCCCCTCCCCAACACACACACACACACACACCTCCCCTCAATTTCCATTAAACGACTATCATAGGGCTCTTGAGACCTTTTTGGCACAGAAGTGTCACTTGAGCCACAGGTAACAATTTCTTTAATAATCAGATATTAATATTATATATATTTATATTAACACACACTTTAACTCACCTTTACAAGAAACCTGCTGAATTTGATCGACAAGAGCACCAAGGTCGGAGTAGCCTTTCAGCTCTATCACATGGGTACAGTAGGGCTTGTTAGCAACATTTCTCAGTTCCTGGCTGTCAATGCCGTCGCCTACACCAATGGCGAAAATGGTGATTCCTTTGCTGCGTACTCCCAAAGCTGCTGAAAGGGTTTTCGACGGGTAACTCGACTGGCCATCCGTCAGGAGAACAATCACTTTAGACGCCCCGTCTCTGGATCCCATGGCTGGCGTGAAGAGGTGTTCGGAAGCGAAGTTCAGGGCTATATTGGTATCTGTTTCCCCATTGTCCATAACGATGCCATCAATGGCTTTCTGGATAGCAGCTTTGTCGCTGTATTGCCTGAAGTCAAACTGTGATTTGAAGCCGGTGCTGAACGTCACGAAAGCAACACGGACATCATCTGTGCCAATTTGAAAGTTGTCGACGACTTCATGTGCAAACTTTTTGGCACTATCGAAATCCTCCGGTGCTTGACTTGATGAGGCATCCACCAAGAAGGCAATGTCAAGGTCAGTTCTTGAACAGACTAGAAGTAACACAAAATCTTCAGTACATTTTAGTCTTAGGAATTATTAATTGTGTACAATTTTATGTTATTGAAGTGAGTGAATATGATTTTACGCCGCTTTTAACAATATTCCTGTAATATCACGGCGGGGGACACAAGAAACGGGCTTCACACAGTGTACCCATATGGGGAATCGAAGCCGGGACTTAGGGGTGACGAACGAGCTCTTTAACCTCTATATTCTACTCTACCCCCGTGCCTCCCCATGTCATTGAAGGTGCTATCGAATCAAGGTGCTATCAAGGTAATGAATTATGCATACGGGTACTTTCTCAGAAAACCGAAGCAATTCTAGTGAGTGAGTGAGTGAGTGAGTGAGTGAGTTTGGTTTTACGCCTCTTTTAGCAATAGTCCAGCAATATCACGGCGAGGGACACCAGAAATGGGCTTCACACATTGTACCCATGTCGGGAATCGGACCCGGGTCTTCGGCGTGACGAGCGAACGCTTTAACCACTAGGCTACCCGACCGCCCCCCGAAGCAATTCTAGAAGGGACATTTTCGCGTTGTAGCGAAAACAAGCAAATGGTATCAATTTTTTCCAAAGCACGACAATACGACAATGCCACAATGCTCAACGGGACATTTTGGCTTTTCGTCGCATTTGAGCATCGTCGCGCTTTGAATGATATTATTTTGTATTTTACCGAAGGGCGACAATGCAACAACGCCACAATGTCCCTTCTAGGATTTCTTACTATGGAAATGTGTTCAACATTTAAGAAAGAATATGATGTAGGGGTGTCTTCAATTGGAGTTGAAACTATTTATAAATAACATAATTACAGAATATTTGAAAATATATTTAGCTGTCTTTCCCCCAACATCAAACTGACATGTGACCCGGTAAGATCTTGGGTAGAATAGGTCTTCAGCAACCCATGCTTGCCGTAAAAGGCGACTATGTTTGTCGAAAGAGGTTGTGGTCAGGCTCGTTGGCTTGGTTGATGCATGTAATCGTATCCCAATTACGTGAATCGATGCTCATGATGTCAATCACTGTATTGTCTGTTCCAGACTCGATTATTTACACACCGCCGTCATAAAGCTGGAATATTGCTGAGTGCGACGTCAAACAACAAACAAACAAACAAACAAACTGACATGTGATATAATTGAAACACTGTTCGAAACCGCGTTAAACCAACAGGGTCATCTGAAGATATTAAAGTGACAAAACCATTCCCATAAGAAATCTCCAAGAGTCCATTGTACGATTCAGACAATATCATAAGCATGTGTTTGTGAATCACTATCAAATAGAGATGATACCAGGTGTTCGCGAGTGTAACTCGGGAATTGATCCTTGAAATTGAAAAATTTGCATAATGGATGTATTTTTAACGAGGTTGACAACAAAATACCGACAACTACCAAGTCTGTTATATAACAAAACTTTGATTGCTTAACAGAGCCACCAAGTTAACTCGACGCTATCGTTCCCAAGACTCCAGATTGACGAATCATTGTTACGTGTAATGTCCTTTGTATATAGGTTGACATTCTTTAAAGGACTAATAAATTATATAGGGGTCGGAATTAACGAGGTTCAACTATACATGCATTCGTTCTTGAAGATGGCAAATGGCAAATCTCAAGAACAGTGTACATAGTATATAATAAGGATTAATACATACTTTGATCAAAACCTTTTGAACCTCTATAGAAAAGGTTTGCAGCATGGGGATCAACATAAAAGTATTTCCCATAGAAAGAGCCTTGCTTCTCCACACCCTGTGGGATGGGTTCGGGAATGGTAGACAGGTAGAGAGCAGCAGCGAGCCCGGAGTACATAGGCTTTCTGAGATCTGACCACTGAACCGTGCTCCAGTCGATAGCAAAATGTGTGTTGACGTCCGAGAACAGGGTGCCAGAGTTCTTGATCATATTGAACTTGTCCTGGTCGATCTGGGGCAAATACGAATCAATTTATTAAGTAATCAATGCTATCTGACGAAGGCCTAGTAGTCACATTGTTCAACTGATATGTTAGTCCTTACATTCGTATAAACTTGGTATAATATTAGTTTCATCATGAGATCCATTTGTTGTCTTTCACTGTTAATATGTTCACTGGAAACAAGGATGATCCAATTTTATAAGATGGCGCATTTCGGCTGTGCAGTTTTGTGAGGGTCAGCTAGTGGTACTAACTTGCATCATTTCGTGCTTTTCTGCCAAATTAGTGTGAGTGAGTTTGTTTTTACGCCGCTTTTAGCAATATTCCAGCAATAACACAGCGGGGGGCACAAGAAATGGGCTTCCCAAACTGCACCCTTGTCGGGATTCGAACCCGGGTCTTCGGCGTGACGAGCGAACGCTTTAACCACAAGGCTACCCGACCGCTCCTCTGCCAAATTAAGTTGTCATTCCGAAATGTCCTTATACCTCATTCACTCACTCACTCACTCACTCAGTAACTCACTCACTCACTCAGTGTATGTATAAAAAGTAACAAACTTCCATGAACAAATGAACTTCCAAATTAAAATAGTATCTTTTCTGACCTTAAACGCGATTTGTATATCAATAATGGACAGGTTGCTTTGCGACACTTCTGTAACACATAATTTGAATTGATTCAATATGTATAATCTAAATGTGCCTAGATAATATCCACAAAGTATATGGTCATTTCATTGCTTCATGTATTAGTAAGTGAGTGTGTGAGTTGGGTTAAACGCTGCGTTGAACACTATTCCAGTAAATATCACGGCGTGTCAGCTTGGATAAAGTCCGAAATAATGCAGGCCTCGGACGTTTACTACTTCTAGTCTATTCGGTGAAACCCACAAGCACATGTGCCCCCGTAAAACGCATTAGGTAATACATAACCTAATAACGCAATCGCCGTTATAATCCACGTTATTCTTTAAGCTACGGATGTCTACTTTTAAGATATTAACATAAACGGGTAAAATATATTTATATTTGTAACTGTAACGTCACATTACAACTCTATGATGTCCATACAGGCTAGCCGTATTAGTTTTACGGTGACGAGCAATGAGCTAGATTTAATGACGAGCAATGGTGCTAAATCACACATATAGGGACAGCTGTACTTAGCACCAGATAAGCACACTCTTGCATACACCGAGGGTAATTTAGGTGACGAACAACATCAAAATTATTTTTCAGAAACTACAATATGACATAAAAGAAGTATTAAGTCATGTCTACGTATCCCAAAGTTAAAAGGATACAACACGACCCGTCACGCTACCTGCCATATGCCTCCATCGTAGCCTGCTCTGTACGTCGTTGCGTTTGTTCCATCGTGTGTAGCCACGTAGGCCAGGCGTCTGAGGAAAAGCTTGTCGTGGGGGAAAATACAAGATTCCCGGATCCTGTTCACCACAGCGTCGACAACCTCTTCCCCAAATGTCCCTGGAACTCGAGTCTGATCCTGGCCCAACGCCAGCCCGACCAGAAACACCCAGCAAGCGAACACCGACGATGTCATGGCTACTCTGGCAGCATTCGAGATGAAGGCACACTCATGTACCGAAAACAGGACCTCTAATTACGTAAGACCATTCCTTCGGCGGTGAGGCTAAACGTCGAATATCCAATAGCAACAAGGTGTGTAGTTGACAGACAGTTTGTCTGGAAAAGGGGCTGGCTTTATTTAAGGATTATCTTGTAAACGGTCATGTCAAAATGACCTTGGTTATGGACACATTGCTCATATGTTCTGCACTGGTATTCATCTCTTTGAAGATGATGTCTCAGGGTATGGGTGGATGTTCAGAAATAACCCGATGCTGTATAGTTTTGGAATGTGGGTGGTTTGTTATGACAAACATACATCACACGTAATTAAATTATATGAAATCCTAGTCCTATTAGATATTTGAGACACCTTGTGTATACGTGTACATCTTTTGCTGAACATCATTGTCAGTACTTTCGACCCTAAAAACACTTGAGCTTTCCTTCTTTAATCCGCCGTGCTTACATAATTGCCATCATAACATAATTTGTTTCTATAACTGTCATAAAGGACTAATATCTGCAGCAGAAAAGGAAGTTCAATGGTACATGTCAATGAAAACATGTTTCTTCTTAATGAACAAAATTCCTTTTGCGAGGAGAGTAGCTAGTAACCGATTCATCTACATCCGTGTATGTTAAAATACATCCCCACGTGTTTACCACTTATGTGATACTCATTAGGACGGATATAGTGCAGACAAACCTAGAAAAGTAATAAGGGCGAACCGGGAATCGAACCCACGTCATAAAGCTGGACAGACACCAACAACTTTTAATAGCCTTTAACATAGGTAAACAAATAAGGGTCTTGCATTTACCGGCAATCCTTGCTGACGTATGTGAAGGGTTGAAGAAACGACACGACGAGGCACATGGGAAATTGTCAGCTAATAATGATACCTAAGGATTAAGCCATGTGTCAAAAGGCCTTTAGGTCGCGTGTCTAAATCCTAGCTGCGATCATACTCCTCATCCCTCGTACTCACACAATAAAGGAATTGTTGGACCACTTTGAAAAGTGAATTGTGGAGAGAGTTCAGGACTTATTGTGGTAGGAAAGCCCGAAGTGATGCAGGTCTTAGACGTTTACCACTTCGGTGAAACCCACGAGCAGGGGTATGGTGCTGACAAACCTAGAAACATAATCGGGGCGATAATCACAAGAAATGTATGTTAAACGCATAGTCAATTTTATGATTCCGCAATATAGCCCATTCTGACTCTTATTAAAGAAAAAAATTAAGAAAAAAACCCTTAATTATCCCTGTGTAAGGTTACCCAATTCATGCTTATTCAAATAGGATCACAACTTGCACCGATCCCTGTTACTTTTGTTCACATATGAGTGAGTGAGTGAGTTGTGTTTAACGCCGCTTTTAACAGTATTCCAGTTACATCGCGGCGTGTCAGCTTAATGTGGGACGAAAGCCCGAAGTGGTGCAGGTCTCAGACGTTTATCACTTCGGTGAAACCCACGAGCACGGGTATGGTGCTGACAAACCTAGAAACATAATCGGGGCGAACCGGGATTCGAACCCACACTCATTGGTTCCTGGCGTGTCCAAGGGACGCAACTCTGTACAGCGAATCGCGACGCCTGAGACGACTGGGCCACCCGTGCCCCCAGATATATAAGAGACTATAAAGCAGTTATAAGTTGGATATCAACGTCTTTAGTGTAATTATCATTTTAAGGCTACTTCCTGCTCCTCTATCAGGTACTGTAGGGGGCACGGGTTCTTTCAGTTTCATGTACATAAATCTCATTATCGGACTCTATCTTGATCATATCTTGCATTCAATACCACACCAAATTAACACCTGTAACATTGACGTTATACATTTGTAACATTACAATGTATATTTAAAATCTAAAATTACTTTCTTATGTAGAAGTTCTAGGATAGAATAAGCCTCCGATGACCAACCTATCATTTATGTTGTTGAGAAGGGACACACGAGGATTGCCTGTACATTCAGCAGAAACAGCTGCAAATTGCTGATGTCGCGCAATTAATAATATTTATTCAGTGCCTGGACCAATGCGTCATTTAACAGATTAACAGCGATGCAGGACCTAAGCGATTTTTCTTTACGAACCAACAATCTATAGGAATAATCTCCATCTAAAAGAATCCCTACATTTAGACTTTGATAATGCCTTCTTTTTGGAAGAAATTATTGAAATTATTTGAAACTTAGATTAGAACTCATGTGTTGCCCTAAGTGATGCTCGTGGAATATGTAAGCTGCTGATGCAGGTGCGAGGTGATGATATACATGATATACAATGCTTGATATAAGACTCTAATGTCGTGGACCCCTGTCAAGATCCGGGGTAGAATTTAGTAACCAATACTGGTCGTAAGACGCGACTGACGGGATCAGGTGGACAGGCTCGCTGACTTGGTTGATGCATGTCATCGTATCCCATTTGGGTAGATCGATGCTGTTAATAACAATCACTGGATTATCTGGTCCAGCCTCGATTATTTACAGACCGCCGTCATGTAGCTGGGATATTGATAAGTGCAGATTTAAACAACACACACACACACACACACACACACACACACACACACACACACACACACACACACACACACACACACACACACACACACACACACACACACACACACACACACACACAAACAAACAAAACAATGTCATGGGGTTCTAAACCATTAATTTATCAGTTGCTTGCACGTTTAGAAAACATCCTCATTGAGATTATACATGTTTGAAATATAGAGTCATCTACAGGAATAGTTATATAAATCCTGTTTTTAGCCTTCCTCGCCCAATAACTTTATCATGGGCATCTTTAATGGAACCATTATTTATCAAAACACTATACATATAATCTTAGACTATTTGAATATAATTAAGAGTTCATACCACACCATTATATCGTGTTGTAGCAGCCGAGGTCGATGTATTCACGTCCTCGCCCTGCTGGCGACTCTTGCACATGTTCAATAAATATAATTTATTGCGCTCAGTTCCAAATTAAATGAAGAGGTATCAAATCTAGCGTGAGACGACCTCAAATTTCAAAACATATATATCCTGATTTAATTTCTTCCTTCATCAATTTTCGACTGTTACAGATAATTACAAGGTACGTTGGGCCTGTCTGGGGATTGCTCTGACAAAAGTTTGAGGTTATTTTGCATTATCGGTAAAGCGTTCTAACTCCAGGCTCTGATGATGATTCCTGGGCATTATGTAACAGCAAACAAGCGACCTTTTCACGGCACATCAGATTGCTTGCTTTTACAAGTCAAGTTTAGTATATTGGTATCCCTTACACTTAGACCCGTGAAGATCCGGGGTAGAATAGGTCTTCAGCAACACGTTTGGCGACTATGTTTGTCGTATAAGGCGACTAACGAGATCGGGTGGTCAGGCTCGCTGACTTGGTTGATGCATGGCATCGTCTCCCAAGTACGTGGATCGATGCTCATGACATCAGTCACTGGATTGCCTGGTCCAGACTCGATTATTTACAGACTGCCCTCACATAGCATGAATATTGCTGATTGCGGCGTTAAACAACAAACAAACAACTACACGTATACAAAAACAGCATACAAAACCTAAGACACGTGTTGTTGAATATAATTCGTAACCTTGTACCCCCAAGAAATATACGTCAACATTGGCGAGTGCCACGTGTTGACGTTACGGCCCAGTAAGCCATTTTAAGGTTTTCGAACATGGACTAGTTGATGCATACCTACAATGGATGATGAATGGATGTATGTAGAATATTTATAAAGCTGCAGTTATATTTTCGGAATCAGACTTCAGAATTATGCGATTTCTCATTCCATATCAACACTGGATCATAGACTGAAAGAACGAACTTATGAAAAGTAGGCGATCAATGAAAACCGAGATATTTAAGAAAATTTATATCCCCTATCCGGCTTTCCTTTTGCGACTTGATTCATCAGATCCTGGTTGTGTCACGACTCATTTTTGGTGCGTGAATACATTTAAATCGGTCAATAACGAAACATTGCTTCATCGCTCGGCATTTGTAGGTGTGGGGTCTTCCCAGTTAGCTCAAAACTGAAATACGGGAGGATTAAGGGGAATAGGGATGGGGATTTTAGTCTGTTCCTGTCAGGTGACCACTTGTGAGCTCAAAAGCTTCGAAGCTGAAGTTAGCTGAGGTCATGATCACTCCCACCCGAATCTTGAGTTCCTGAGTGTATTGCAGAATGAGCAATCCTACATTGAAATTATGATTCTTCAACTCCAAGAAACCGACATGACCAAGCCTTGATAGAAGATATACCGTCTCCTTGACAACAGACTTGATAACTTGAAAACGGAGTTTGTAGATGTTGACACTGGACTAATGTTTTATCCAGAGTGTGTGAGTGAGTATGGTTTTACGCCGCTTTTAGCAATATTCCAGCAATATCACGGCGGGGGACACCGGAAATGGGCTTCACACATTGTACCCATGTCGGGATTCGAACCCGGGTCTTCGGCGTGGCGAGCGAACGCTTTAACCACTAGGCTACCCGACCGCCCCTGTTTTATCTAGATGCTGTCTCCTGACTTTATATATGTACCTGAGTGTCCTATGAGTGTCATGTGTTTTTATGCATCTGAAAACTATTATAAATTGTGTACATAAAATATAAATCTATATATAAAAAATCAAATCGTGTTATTATTGTTCCAACAAACTATTTCTGGTGGCTGCAGTGGTCAGGAGATGGAACAGACATTACTATAATCCCCCATTGTTCTGCCAGTTAACACATTGTTACAACTGGCTGCATTTGAGCTCAAATGGGGGATTTTGAGCTTACTGGAACTAACCGCTGGTTTTGTACGGGAAGGGTGGATCTACACACAGTGAGGAATTAACTCGTCACGACAATGTCGTCATATCTATTTCCAAGAGGTGAGGTGAAAAAGCATTCAATATTATTTCACTAACAACGACGTGTATGCACACGTGTGTGTGACTGCTATGTGAAAATAATGATAATAAGAGTAACACTTCAAAGGAAACAATTTATTACATAATCAGGTTTATACACCTTGACCATAAGTTGAATGATGACATACACAACATTAAATCTTGTTTTTGAGAAAATGAACAAACAATGACACAGGTTAAAAAGAAGAACAACACCAAGGATTTTTTGCCATCGTGTTGACATTGTCTGTTACTAAATAAAGATCTTCTCTCAGCCAGCGAAAAGCCCAAATGTTTCCTCAAAGTGAGGTTCCTTCAAAACACAATGTGTGGACAAAGGTTTTTTACAGGGTGATAAATACCTATTTGTTTTTGTCTGATAAAACCTCAGTGTACAGATTAAACTTATTGCCCGGATTTTAAAAGAAGAGTTATTTCCCCTTGTATAAACTGTAATGGCAAAGTAGACACAACTTATGGATAACAACTTCTTAATACTGTAAAGGCGACGTTTCGGTACAGATTGTTTGACAACAGTTAAATGATCTATACCGAAACGTCGTCTTTACAGCACTAAAGAAGTTGTTATCCATAAATTTAGTATCCATTGTCATCCGTCAACTTCTAAGTAATGCCTATCAAACAATTTAAACTGTAATGGTTGCTCGAATTTCTGCCCTCTGCGAACATATGTGAGAATAGCCTGGTCATAGCCTTTGCGATATAGGTTACTGAAGAAAAAACACAATTCATTGCCCCTCTTTAACCAATTATGACTTGTTGTGATGGCATGCACGTCAGTTTGTCCTGACTCCACACCTCCGTGCCATTGCAGTGCTTCTCAAAACCGTCTCCGAATGCATCACATTGGATGAACATGTGTTCATCAGGATGGGGGTAGTAGAAGAGATCCCCTTGCTTCGTCGGATTTCGACACGGGTTAGGAACATTCTTGTCGAACTTGTTAGTGGCTGGATCAATGACGTATTTCCCGTAAGTACAGGTGAGGATTTTCTGGTCCCAATACTTTCCCTTGTCGCAGTCCTTGACGTAGCCGTAATGAGGCCAGTTGGAACAGTCTATGTATTTGGCGATATTCTCAGGGTAAGGGAAGAACTGACCCTTCGTGCCTGCGTTGCAAGGGCCCGTGCCAGGAATGGCGTCTGTCACACGGGATGTGAAGGTGACTGCAGGGATGGTTGCTGTTGGCGTCGCTTTTGGGACTTGGGTACTCGGCTCTCCGGGGATACAGTCCATGGTGGTCTGGTCGTATACGTAATGGGCATCACACTGATAGACATAGGCGATTCCGGTTTGCCCACACATGATGAACTTGGTCTGGTCGAATGGGTGAATCATATAGCCAGGCCTTCCAGCTGTACAGGGACTGGCGAAGTTGTCTGTCAAAAGAATAGCATCCATGGATTAGTTTCAATATGTATGACGTACTGAGTATACTGCTAGGCCAACAGCGATGGCTGTAACTACGTATTGTAAGACTGATTATGTGCCGCTGTGTGACAGATTCAAGTCTGAAGTTCTCCTCGGTCTTTGACATCGTCCTGATACTGATTGGAGAAGGATGGAGGTGAATCATTTGCCAAACACTGTAGAAATAATTTGGCGTCAGGTTGTACTGAAGTAAAGGAATAGGATGTCCAGGAAAACTGTATTATGGGTCCTTTATTTTCAGAGAAATGAAGAATATTCCTCTGAAAAAATGTTCGAAAAATAATTTTGTTTCTAGCAATAAATCAAGTATTCCCTTCCACGATACCTAAATATACTGAACCGCAAAAGAAACGTCACCCCAAGTAACATTGCATGGAAAGTTGTCATTTAAATATCTAGGTAATTTTCGTCACAGTTTCTAAAATTTAACATTACCTTGTCAGGAAAACTCAAATTTCATAAAAAAAACCCAAAGCAGATGACAATAAAACCGATAGCCCAAAAGCATCACGGCAACGGCCATGGTAACCCGATGCACGTGAGTTCCGTGCAAATTGAAATGCACATGCGTTCCCCCATTTCTTGCCCTATAAAAATCCACCCAGATCGGATAACATTCACTCGTCATTGAATTGCTACCACATGCCAAGATTGACAAGAGTTCAGCGACACCGAGCTCTTGGACGATTGCAAGCTGGACAAATAGCCCGGCAAGTAGCCAATGCATTTCAAGTCCATTGAAACTGCTCGGGACACACCAGCGACACATAAGTGCGGACAGCGTGCGTCGACGATTGAAGAGCAGACACCTCCACTGTCACAGGTCACACCGAGGACCCATTCTGACACAGCACCAGCAGTGGAGAAGTATCTTTAGAGTTCTGAGAGTCGTTACTGTATCTCAACAGCAGATGGCAGAGAGAGAGAGAGAGAGAGAGAGGGAGAGAGAGAGAGAGAGAGAGAGAGAGAGAGAGAGAGAGAGAGAGAGGGAGAGAGAGAGAGAGGGAGAGAGAGAGAGACGCCATGGGGAACGTTATTCGGAGGCTTGTGTTGTTGAGAGAGACCCGTGGGATGGTCCGAGCATCATGGTGTGGGATGGAATTGGTCTTGCACAGAGGATCGGCCCTGTGGTCTTCCAGAACATCGGTCCAGGGAGAGGCAATGGTGCCACAGCAGCTCGGTACATTGATCAAGTCTTGAGACTACACGCCATACCTCATTTGGCACGTCGTTTCAGCATGATAACGCCCGTGCCCACACTGCGAGAGCAACAAGAGACTTACTCCAGCAGAATGACATCAGAACCATGGAGTGGCCTGCGCTCAGTCCCGATTCAAATCCCATTGAGCACCTGTGGGACAACATTCAAAGACGGCTGAATGACGTCCGACCAAGGCCGACAACTGCAGCTGAACTGTGTCAGGCGTTCCTCAGAGTTTGGGCTCAAGTGTCTATGGCCTTCATCAACCGCCTCATCCATTCCATGTATCGACGTTGCACGGCAGTCATCAATGCACATAGCCGACACACGAGATACTGACTTGTGATGCCATTTTCTCGGAGACTAGTGTTGTATTTCACTTTAAGAACATTTGACACTTTAATTTCAACCTTGATGATCAGTTTTGCGAAGTTTCATCTTTTTAATATGTCTCTAATGTGTCTCAAAGTATGTTTACAGTGTTTGGACAAATAAGGTTTCTCATATATCTATCCATGGTGACGTTTCTTTTGCGGTTCAGTATATATACATCCTTCAATCATGATCAGGGCTTGACAATGGACACGCTTCACCAGTAATTGTGAAGTACTACTACTACTACTACTACTACTACTACTACTACTACTACTAATATGATGACATTGCTTCTATACTACTTCAGGTACAACTACTTACAGGGGGGTTGTTGGTAGTGGTACAGATGCTCGTATATGTTGGCCACAGAGCAGGCTCTAGTAACGTCATGCTCTATGCATGTAACGTTAACATCTGGAAAAAAACGATGATTAAACTTGAAACCTTTTATGAAGTATTTAAATTAAAGATGAACATTATGCGTTGACTATTTGCGAATTTTTGGCGACCTTGTTAAATGCACTTCCTGAATCGCTCTCCATACGTGAACTTTCACAGTTGCGAGGCAGACATGACGTCCGTCTATAATGCAATGACGTCATCATAATCTGACGTCATCCACTCCATAATGGAATGACGTCATGATTCAATGTCATGTGGAATGTGAAAAAAAACCTACAGCGAAGTTGTTCATATAAACATTACTCAAACAAAATATATAAATAACATGGTATACATTTCCCACAGTCGAATGGCACACGTTTTTCAAAATTGCAAAAAAACATAAACAAGGAAAATATTCATACGCATGGAAAAGACCGAAAGATGTCCTGGATCCAATTCCATCAACACCGTCTTACAGCCAGTCTGATTGCAATATACCATCCCATTCATTTTACAAAGTACTATTCCCCTGATATCAACTCTGTCACCAGAGATATTGTTTGAGTTTAAAAGGTTGCAAATCTGGAAATATGTCTTTGAATTTTTTTTTGTACTCTTGGTGTAATGAAAGACCAAATTACGCATCCCAATGAGACATGTAAGAGTAGCTCTACATCCTACCATGGTATTTCACAATCCTGCATTCTGATTGGTCCACGGTATCGAATTGGGAGATATGTTTCACAATTTGAGATAACTCGTGTTGGAATGGGACCCGAGAGCTTTGATATCATTGATGACCGATGCACCTCGAAAGAAAAAAGTTGGAAACACTACTTTCACAAACCCCACCGATAGGCAATTTCAAGCCCTCATTATCATTAATATTAAGTTTCGAAATACCGTACTACTACTACTACTACTACTACTACTACTACTACTACTACTACTACTGCTGCTGCTTCTACTATTACTACTAGTACTGCCATACTACTACTACTACTACTACTAATACTACTACTACTACTACTACTTCTACTATTACTACTACTAGTACTACACAGTCTCTCATCGTATCCCATTTGCGTAGATCGATGCTCATGATGTCAGTCATTGGATTGTCTGGTCCATGCTCAATCTTTTGTAAACCGCTGTCATATTGATGGAATATTGGCGTGTGGCGTTAAACAAGACACAAACAAATAATTCCATGTGAAGACTATAGCTGTATGATCTATATATTGTACCTGTTCTTTTAGGAATTCGTGTAATTCAACCTACTTGGGTTGACTCTCTGAACGTTGCCGATCTTAATAGTGAAGTTGCCGGTGCAGCCATTCGGCGGCCCCGTAGGTGTGATGTTGAGGTACAGTGGCTTCAGTTCCTGGTTGATCAAAACCACAGACGCTGCACTCACCACTGAATTGCTGGAAACGAAGGAGTCAATAGCGTCAATAGATGTACACAAAATGTGTCAGCAATGAGGTGAGGTGAAATTGGGTTTAACGTCGCGTCTAAGAATATTGCACTTATATAGCGACGTGCATGCACGTGTGTGTGTGGCTGCTTGTACTAGTCCAGACTGATTCCGATTTATAGTGCTAGCTCACTGAAATACCATGCCGCAGTTTAACATGAATACCCCACTCAGACACAGTATACTGACTCCGAGCCGACCAGTCCTTGTTTCAGCCCCTTAATGCCGAGCGCCAGATAGTACCATCTTTTAACGTCTTTTGGTATGACACGGTCTGGGATCGAACCCCGGACCTTCCGCTCTCCGGGCGGGCGCTCTACCACTAGACCACAGAGGCGGTCTGTCAGCAATGATGTCTCACGAGGGTTTTATAGACAACCAATGCCATAACGATGACCTTAACTTTATTCACATCTTATTTAGTAACTGTATTGTTCTTCCTACATTTAAATGTTTTATAACACTGTACATAGTATGACCCCGTTAATCCGTACGTCATAAACATCATGGGGATCTTGCCTCTTCTGTATACAGTGAAACCCTTTCAAACTGGATGGCATCGGCCCACGGGTACGTATTCTGTTTAGTCATATAGACGCAGCTATCAGTATTCGTAGTTCTGGAGGGGTTTCCGGATAACGGGGTGTCGCAATATAGAAACATAATGTTTTCTAAGTGAACTTTATGTTGGTGGGTGTGTATGTTTGTGTGTGTGTGTGTGTGTGTGTGTGTGTGTGTGTGTGTGTGTGTTATTTGTGGTGTGTGTGTTTGTTAGGTGGTGTGTGTCATGTACGTGTAGTGTGTGTGTTGCTAGTGTGTGTGTCGTGTATGTGGTGTGTGTGTGTGGCTTGTGGTGTGGTGCGGTGTGTATGTGTGGTGCGTGGGGTGTATGGTGTGTGTGTGTGTGGTGTGTGTGTGCGAGTGGTGTTATCGTGTACGTGTAGTGTGTGTGTTGCTAGTGGTATTATCGTGTATTTGTAGTGTGTGTGTGGTTAGTGGTGTCGTGTATGTGTGTAGTGTATTGTGTGTAGTGTGTGTGATGTGTTTGTGTGGCTAGTGGTGTAATGGTGTATGTGTGGTGTGTGTGTGGCTAGTGGTGTGAGTCGTGTGTGTGTGTAGTGTATTGTGTGTAGTGTGTGTGATGTGTGTGTGTGGCTAGCGGTGTCATGGTGTATGTGGGGTGTGTATGTGGTGTATGGGTGTGGCTAGTGGTGTGAGTCGTGTATGTGTGTAGTGTATTGTGTGTAGTGTGTGTGATGTGTTTGTGTGGCTAGTGGTATTATCGTGTATGTGTAGTGTGTGTGTGGCTAGTGGTGTCATGGTGTATGTGTGGCGTGTATGTGTAGTGTGTGTGTGGCTAGTGGTGTGAGTCGTGTATGTGTGTAGTGTATTGTGTGTAGTGTGTGTGATGTGTGTGTGTGGCTAGCGGTGTCATGGTGTATGTGTGGTGTGTATGTGGTGTATGGGTGTGGCTCGTGGTGTGTGTCGTGTATTGTGTGTGATGTGTTTGTGTGGCTAGCGGTGTCATGGTGTATGTGTGGTGTGTAAGTGGTGTATGGGTGTGGCTCGTGGTGTGTGTCGTGTATTGTGTGTAGTGTGTGTGATGTGTTTGTGTGGCTAGCGGTGTCATGGTGTATGTGTGGTGTGTATGTGGTGTATGGGTGTGGCTAGTGGTGTGTGTCGTGTAAGTGGTGTGTGTGTGTGTGTGTGTGTGTGTAGTGGCTAATGTCGTGTATGTGTGTGCTGTGCGTGTACTGTGTCGTGCCGTGTGTGTGACCTAATTCCCTTAAAAGATTTAGCAATCGTACCTGACAAAGTCACTCCCGGCTTGGTTAGGTGTTGGATTATTCAGCGATCCATAGATATCCACCATACCATCTGTAACGTCAATCTGAAACATTCCACAGGAGAATCACTACCAGTCCGAGGACATCCTCATCCTCGAGGACATGCCCTGCATCTGTCCCCCAGAAGGTGGTGTTTCACACGACCGTCCACACCGACAGGGTTTCACATAAGATTCACCTTGAAAAATACCTTCCCGGGCAGAGACAACTTCGTGTGGTATTTATGCTTCACCGTATCAGCAATACCAGAGCGACGGGGCACATGTGAACTTGTCGTCTATGTTGCAGCAGAATTGTGTCCCTTGGACACATCAGAAACCAAAGATTCTGGGTTCGAATCCCGGTTCGCTCCGATTATGTTTGTCAGCACCGTACCCGTACTCGTGGGTTTCACCAAAGTGGTAAACATCTGAGACCTGCATCACTTCGGGCTTTCCTCCCACTTTAAACTGACACGCCGTGATATAACTGGAATAATGTTAAAAAACGCGGTAAACCCCACTCACTCACTAAATAGTGAGACTCGTCGATATGACGACGTACAGTCAAGTCACAATGAGTGCCTTGAAGTTCTACTCATTCTCGGCTACCATTGTGGCTACTGGATCCCCGATTAAGTTCCTCTCATTGTGGATATGCTGTCTGAGATCAAGAGGACCACCCCTTCTACTTAGCGTGGTATGACATAAATGATCGTATATATCGTATGCTATTCGAGCAATATCACGCCGGCCCGTATATAATCGAGCATATTCAGGGAAAGCAGTGATTGATAAACTGATTAACTTCCCACTTCCCACAATCATTCCATCTTCCCGAGGCAAGGGAGTTAACTGACTTTAAAAGTCCAGTTTCCACCCTTGCCGAACTAGGCTGGAATTACTCGGCTCGATCGTTGCGCCACCAGTGGCTATTGCCAATTATGTCCCTTCTAAGCCTCTCCTATTGACCAATCAGATTCCACCTCTCGTATCACTTGCTTCCCACAAAATGGTGGCGCTCAGTCAGGACGATCTGATCGATAATCAAGATCTATATTGTGATAAAACGGGTCTTACATCGCGAAATGCATCAAATCACGTGAGCACCTGAATTAAAAACATGAAAGCATTTGGAAAATATCTGCTGACAACGAATTGGCGATGCACATGCTTTGCAAACCCTGCAATCGATCGAAATCTGCACGACAGTTTATGAACCGGATTTCGATTTCGGTGCGCGATTTTGATTGGACTATGCATAGACTCGTTAGTCCAGACAAAACGTAACCAGCCTAGTTCGGCAAGGGTGGAAACTGGACTTTTATAGTCAGTTAACTCCTTTGCCTCGGTAAGATGCAATCATTCAAGCCACAGAGCCTGACCATTCGATCCAAATGAACAGCATGCGGTACCAGGAACAAGTCGGCCGTTACGACTACATGTACGATGAGGTATCGGAAACTAGTCGGCTATAACTAGTATGAGGTACGGGTGACTATCGGCTGTTACGAGTATCAAGACGTACTGGGGACCTCTTCTGACGCGGAATCCCCATACGGTTCCACCTACCATTACTTGTACCAGAGACTCGTTGGTAAAGATCTGGTACAGACCGCCACTCGAGCAAGGATACTTAAAGGCGCCCGGATTCAGAACAGCTGGTGCTGAAAATCCAAAAGGACGAAATAACATATTGACTTTACATAAACATAAATAATATATTGACTTTGTAATATGAAAATGAGTGTTGGCATCTAAAAAAATCTTACACAAAAATGAAATATGCGGTAAAATGTATCAGCTTTGCTCCTATATCATCATAATCAAAGCAAGGAACTCTGTCGGCAAACTGTGTCTCCATCGCTATCATAGTGAACGCAAGTTTCAGGGTATCATAGTCAACGAAGGTTCTCTATCGTGAATTTGACTTCAACATTATTTCATTTGACAAATTGATTGGAATAAAGGGGTGAACTTGGAGGTGAGGTGAAATAGGGTTTAACGTCGAGTTCAAGATAATTTCATTTATATAGCGGCGTGGTGCAACTGCGTGTGTGTGGCTGATAGAGAATTTGTCAGGAAATTTTGCGCTCTTTACCGTCGTGAGATACTATAACCATCGTGAGATACTATAAGACTGGAAGATCTAAAGTAACACGTGACCACAAACTGTCCAATGGCCACCTTTTATACTCTCTGCCATGTGTCTCTATATAATAATTTGGGTACCGGGGTTTGTACAGGAATTCTGCCTCTGGTTTCACAAAAAATAGATAATTGTTTGCTTTCAGGGAATCGTATCTATTAGTTTTAAAGGCCTACGTGCCCTAAAAATGAGACAATCTTAACAGTGAGACAATCTTAACATGAAGCCGTTGAAATGGAATAGCACATCCACTGCTCCTTGTAAAATATTAATAGTTCAAAGTCAAATTTACGCTCAATTTTGTCTCCATTTATCCAAGGAAGGTAAATCAGCCCCTAATAACAATTGTCAATAATAACCATGAATTGATATTTTGAACGAAATGTGTTATTTCTCAAGACGTTCAAAACTTCTGACGTTTGACGAGTCCATCTGTGTTGGGGGTTAAGGGTGTGGCCAAGGACTGTATACAGTGTTTCAGTATGTTTATTCGAAGAACTATATATATATATATATATATATATATATATATATAGTTCTTCGAATAAACATACTAAAACACTGTATACAGTCCTTGGCCACACCCTTAACAGTGTTGCAATATAACACACACACACACCCATATATATATATATATATATAAATATATATATATATATATATATATATATATATATATATATATATATATATATATATATATATATGGGTGTGTGTTATATTGCAACACTGTGTGATTCAGGAAGCAAGACTATTGATGCCTAAGGCTAACAGGGAGTAGTATGTTGGACATCAATGGGAGAAGGTTTAGAACATTACTCTTTGGAAAGATTGAATGAAATAATGAAGACATGAAATGAATGTCACACGTTCAATGATCCAAAATTCAAATACTAGAATTCAAATGTAGATTTGCTATCGTAACAGAATTTGGTTCATTTTAAACAACAGTGTGGAGTAAATATTTTTTAGTTGTTGGAATAAATAAAAAAACTCTATAAGGCCGAATTGCTGTACCTTAGGAATCGAAGATGGCAATCTGCATCTTGGCCTGCTGCTATTCTTGCAGACATAGGCAAACATTAATCATGGTGCAGACAAGACATCAACCAAGTATTGTTTGAAGACTATGATACACAATTAGGGTTCGTGATTTGTGCTGCAGATGGTAACAGTGCTGATCTATGTTTATAAAGGGAACAATCTGTCTGACATGATCCTGAGGGTGTTTATAACGTGTTTTATGTTCCCCTCAGCTGTAACGTATTATCCTTTTCGAGAATGGGGAAAAAAAGGAAACTTCGTTGATTATAATTAAATCAATCGTAACAATTAAGACTCACCTAAACACGACACCTGCTGAATTTGGCCAACAAGAGCACCAAGGTCGGAGTAGCCTTTCAGCTCTATCACATGCGTACAGTAGGGCTTGTTAGCAACACTTCTCAGTTCTTGGCTGTCAATGCCGTCGCCTACACCGATGGCGAAAATGGTGATTCCTTTGCTGCGTACGCCCAAAGCTGCTGAAATGGTTTGCGTCGGGTCACTAGACCGGCCATCCGTTAGGAGGATTATCACTTTAGACGCCCCGTCTCTGGAACCCATGGCTGGCGTGAAGAGGTGTCCAGAAGCGTAGTTCAGAGCTAGATTGGTATCTGTTTCCCCATTGTCCATAACGATGCCATCAATGGCTTTTTGGAGAGCAGCTTTGTTGCTGTATTGCCTGAAGTCAAACTGGGATTTGAAGCCGGTGCTGAATGTCACGAAAGCAACACGGACATCATCTGTGCCAATTTGAAAGTTGTCGACGACTTCATGTGCAAACTTTTTGGCACTTTCGAAATCCTCCGGAGACTGGCTAGACGAGGCATCCACCAGGAAAGCGAGGTCAAGGTTAGTTCTTGCACAGACTGGAATCAATAAAGAGTAATAAGTAATGTGTTGAATGAAAGAGAAATAAAAATACGAGATAACTAAACATAACTGTTATTGTAGATATACAGTCATTCATTTCGTTATTTTGCAGGTTAACACTTGCCTTTGCATGTGTTTGTGATGGGTGCAACCGGTGTGGTAGAATACGCACACCTTTTCGCAAGAACCTGGTTGCTTCCCTGTTTGATAGTGATTTATTAACTCATGCTCATGATATGGTCGAAATTGGACTCTGCTTTTAGTAGATTTTCTTAGGATTTGGGCATGGGTTTTTCGCTTTTATTTCAATTCAGATGGCCCCGATTATCTAACACAGTGGTCTGATATCTTTGCGTGCAGAGTTGTTTCCCTTTACCCTACCAGAATCCGCTGATTTGAATATGATCCTTTACCTATCACTAGACGTACGTCCTTTCTGGTATGCCTACCACATTAAGCTGACCACCATGATATAATGTTATTCAAGGCACCGAACTAACACAATCACTTACATCAAGACGACACATCACGGTGATTGGATTTGTTAATGCTGCCTCAAACAAGACAGTATTGCTAGTTTTAACCTAACCGCCTATGTCAGTGCTAACTGACGTTAAAAAAAAATATGAACACTTCCATCTGGTGAGTCTGTGATGATGCAAAGGAAGATTCAGTCTTCCATAACATAGGTTTGTCTAAACAGATGACACATTGGATCAGGTGGTCAGGCTGGGGGACTTGGCATATTGCGTGTCATAGTACCCCGACGGCGTGTCGACTGGCTTGTCTGTTCCAGACTCGATGTTGTACAGGCCACCGTCATACAGCAGGAATATTGCTGAATTCGGTGTTTACTAAGTTAATTGGTAACATCATCCAGGAGGTTAGTGAACAGCGAATGTACTATCCTGCCAGGTAGATTGCACGGAGATGCTGTAGATTAGTAAATATAACTTGTTTAATTAGTACAATTCACTACTCAAACCACCTTGTAAAATGTGTTTAGAATGTAAACACATTCAAGACATGTTAGGCAGTCATGTGTTTCAATCCTTAACGGTACGCACATTTGGTGTGTTCTATCTCAACATGTTTAGGGTCTAAAACACATAAAATGAGCTATCGCCTCATAGCCTAAACACCACCTAAACACAACATCCATCATCTAAACATGTTTAGAATTTAAACACCTTTAATCATGTTTAGAATGTATACTTGTTGAATAAAGTCCAAATCATCAGGATATAAGTTAAGTCCGAATCAAGAGTTGCAGGTTCGAATCCCACCAAGGTTTAAATTCTTTGTGTCCATTAATGTGTTGTTGCTGTTTGCCTAGTTGTATTGGTCCCATACAAGAAGCTGCGATGAAAGTACATCTGATTACTACCTAACCCTTTTTAGTTGGTGACGATAGGCCAATTTGTAAACAAAATACTGATTAGTAAAGTCAACTAACATGTTTGTGTCTGAGTGGACCGGGGGGCACGGGTGGCCCAGTCGTCTAAGGCGCCGCGATTCGCTGTGCAGAGTTGCGTCCCTTGGGCACGCCAGACACCTATGATCGTGGGTTCGAATCCCGGTTCGCCCCGATTATGTTTCTAGGTTTGTCAGCACCATACCCGTGCTCGTGGGTTTCACCGAAGTGGTAAACGTCTGAGACCTGCATCACTTCGGGCTTTCCTCCCACATTAAGCTGACACGCCGCGATATAACTGGAATACTGTTAAAAAGCGGCGTTAAACCTAACTCACTCACTCACTCACTGAGTGGACCGTGAAATTCACACACTAAGTTTGTGAACTTTACAAACTATTTCTGTCAGGGCAACATCAATCACTCATTCCACTTGTGAAGACCCATATCCTTCTCATTTTCAATAAGTACTTCACCACACGTTTGTGATAACATGACATATCGTATATACTTATGTTACAATATACACATACTTGAAATAACAAATTATTTTGAATCAAAATCGTGGTGAAAGCAAATAATTACCGGTATCAAAACTTTTTGAACCCCTATAGAAAAGGTTTGCAGCATGGGGATCAACGAAGAAGTATTTCCCATAGAAAGAGCCTTGTTTCTCCACACCCTGTGGGAGGGGTTCGCTAATAGTAGACAGGTAGAGAGCAGCAGCGAGCCCGGAGTACAGAGGCTTTCTGAGATCTGACCACTGAACCGTGCTCCAGTCGATGGCAAATTGTGTGTTGACGCCCGAGAACAGGGTGCCAGTGTTCTTGATCATGTTGAACTTGTCCTGGTCGATCTGGGAGTTATCGGGAATAATACAAATACTCAAACAATTTTTAAATAAAAAAATATAATATTTTATCTTCTACTTGTTATGTGATCCAGATTTCTTTGTTTGGTAAATTTCGTTCGTTGTTAATGCAATTTTTAAAAAAAATATTAATGCTTTCATTCACTCACGAAATCTGATCCATGACATGGATGTTCTTGGTTTTCGTGTACATTTTAGCCTGAGAAGATATGCAACATAATACCATAGCGTGAGTGAGCAAGTTGGGTTTAATATCAGCCTATTGTGGAAGCAAAGCCAGACGTTTACCATTTTGGTGAAACCCACGAGCACTTGTATCGTGCTAACAAACATAGAAACATAATCGTGGCTAATCGGGATTCGAACCCACAATCACAGGTTTCTGGTGTGCACAAAGGACGCACAGCGAACTGCGGTACCTTAGACGCCTGAGCCACTCATCACCGAAATATACAAAGGAAGGTACTCTACCTGCCATATGCCCCCATCGTAGCCTGGTCTGTAGGTCTTAACGTCTTTGCCATCTTGTGATGCCACATAGGCCAGGCGTCTGAGGAACAGCTTGTCATCTTGGAACAGACACGACTCTCGGACTCTATTGACCACTGCTTGCACCACTTCAGGCCCATATGAACCTGGAACTAGAGTCTGATCCTGTGTTTGGGCTTGCATAAGACCCAACAGCACGATCGAGATGAATAAGCGAAACATCTTTCCTCCCAAGCTGTCACGACTCAGTATCGGCTCTACACTCAGGTATTAGATGTACGACCGTTCTGGAGAAACCCAACCTGACAAAGATGAAAAATCGGGATGTAGCCCTATATAAGGTTGGCTACCTTTCAATGATGAGGCCGACAAAGATGGGTCTATGATAACCTCTGAGTTTGAACAAGAGGGTATGGTTGGGTCATCATATGAATAGCACTGGTGACATAAGATGATCACCTGGGGGCACAGGATGCATACCTACGGAGCCTAGAAGCAAAGCTTGCTGTCGTTAAGTAAAGAGGGTGTTTGACATATATCTGGGAAGGGTGCTTTTCCAACATGGCTCCCCCACGTTCATATGTTCCAATATGACGTATTCAAATGTGTTAGGATTTCCGAAACCCCCTACCTCTGACAAGATGTCAAGACCATTTTATTTAAAAAAACACTGCATATCTTGTCTCCTGAAAGAACATTTAGCTGACTTCGTGTCAACCTTGCCTCATTACAGATGGTTGTGGAAACGTATACCTTGGCTCCGACACTGAGACCTTTGACAGTGAACGCCTAGATCAAAGTAATATTACTGCGCCGCTTGGAGATAGAAATACGACGTGGAGTTGGGTGTAGGTCTTTTTTAATGTGAATGCTCGGTAGGATTATATTGCATGATTCATCCCTGAATAAACAAAATAGGACAGCGGAAGACAAGAAAACAGTTTCTTCATGTAACTAAAATAAACTAGGTAATGATCATTACCTGAATGATTCATTGTGCTGGGAATTAACGCAGTTATATCACGGCGTGTCATCTTCCTGGATATCGTAAGAGGCGACTTAATTGCTCGAGTGTTCAGACTCGGTGACTTGGTTCATTGCGGGTCACTGTTTGGTTTGTATCGTTGCTCAAAATATCGCGAGCAGTCTCCTACCATTTGGGATCACAACTTTAAAATCATTATGGATGCTTTCGAAGCATATGTCCAGAAAATGGCCGAAAGCGAAGAGGAACCTGTTGAATGACATTCATAGTGAGTTAAGTCAGTGCGTGATGTTGTCATTGGTAGAATGCATAAACTGAAAAAGAGGAACAGAATTGGAATAAACCAAATCTGTCCCAGCCAGAGGTCATCCACAGTCTGTACAAAGAGAGATGCATTGCTGGGTCAAGGAAATGTACCACCAAATCCCTGTCTCAAAGATTAACAATAATCATCAATACAACCAAGGAAGAACTTTCTTTATAGAAAGTATTTAAGATAAGCGGAATTAATACCCAAAGGATTTTCTTGATTTTTTTACAATCTCAGAAAAGAATTATGTCAAAACATTTCATTTTTCAACTTCGTGCACCACTATTCAACATGACAAACTTAAGGAAATCGACATTCCTTGATCCATGGGGCTTTTGTTGCAAAACGTGGTGACCCTGTAGGTAGAATTGCATATCTATGTTTAGAGGCCATGGACAATTTGTTAAAAATGAAAGCAAATGCCATCTGAAGTTTACTGAGAAAACATGAATTATGAAACACTGTACTGCCTCATTGAAAACCTCTATTTAACATGTTGGGTGTAAGTCATTTTGGCAAGAGGTAGGCATTCCAATGGACACTAAGTGAGTCCTCCTCATCTGTTTCATATTTAGAACCATGCATAAGGATTCAGAGTAACAAAACACTCTCCACAAGACTGTATTGGAAGAAGGATGACGCACTGACTTTACCCACTATGAACTTTCCAATAGTCAACTTTCATACTATTTACACCAATATTTAAAGAGCGCCATATGACTCATGGTCAGAAGTTGTTTGATCGAGGTAACAACATTCAAGGCTTCTGTGAAGTTTTGAAATCTTTTGTGATAGAGATGTGGAGAACATTTCCAGATTTGATGCATTGATGTCAAAAAATATGTCCCTTGCAATTTCCTATTTTTTAACATAATTTCCCGTGTTTTTTTCATGTTAACAATTGGCTTTGCATGTGTTTGTGACGGTCGCCTGTGTTAGGGCAGGATAACACTGGCGGACTACTTCCACATGGCTGGGGAAACACTCGGGAACTCCACAGCACGAATACATACAGAAGCGTTCTTTCAGATCATTTTAGACCATTTAATCTTGAACTCAGCGTTTTAGTATACATTGAGAAACGTGAGGGTGTGACTGCACGATCGTTTACGAGTATCCTCGCAACGACTCATCCTAGTGAACAAAAAGAAGAAATGCACATCCAAACTATCGTAGTATCGACTCTATCCGTTTCAAGGCTGACAGTGACAGTCAACGGCAATGTGTGAATTTACCTGAGTGTCTATTTGACACATCTTTATTCACCTTTCAGTGATCGGCCATTGATCTATGATGACTAAAACATGTAACCGCCACAGGTTCATTAACAACTTCCGAAATCTCCCCCGTCACGTTTATCCTGTCGGCCATTTTGACGTCTTGTACTTGATGTAAGTGTATTACGACGCGCTTTCATTGTGACTGACTTACTGAGGTACTTTTTAACCGATTTTTTCTCATTTAATAGTGATATTATTAGAATACATGTGTTGTGTCAGATATTTCTGAAGAGCAAGTTGTGCATACATACGCTCATGTCACCTCTCTTTGAGGAACTATTTTATTCCGTGATACAGCTGGTTGTTGTATGGCTGACAGTGTAAACATAAAGTCACACGTACTAAATACAATTGTGCTTAGATCTAGTATTACATCCTTGAGGTAAGAATTTGTGATAAAACATTATGGTGATTCATAAACACATGCTCCTGATATAGTCGGAATCGTACAATCTTATTGCTTAGGAATATCGAAAAGGTTTTGTCATTTTTATCTATATCATCTGAATATATGAATATGTATTTTTTTATAGCTATCAAGAAGTAAATTCAAACAAGAATACGATTATCTTCTTCAACGTTTTACACACTTTGCAATATTTTAAAGTTTATCTTTTCACCAGCGCGTATTGATGTTCCCAAAACTGTATTTCAGAGCTCAGTAAATCCAATGCAGAAATTATTCAGAATATTAAGTGCTCAACTGTTCTTTGATCTATGTGTTGAATGTTGGGTAACCTAAAGCGTTCGCTTGTCGCACAGAAACTCAGGTTTGCTATTTACCATGTGTGTAGGACCGCCTCCGTGGTCTTGTGGTAGAGCGTCCGCCCGGAGAGCGGAAGGTCCAGGGTTCGATCCCGGGCCGCGTCATACAAAAAGACGTTAAAAGATTGTACTTGTTGTTACCCTGTCTGGCGCTCGGCATTAAGGGGCTAAAACAAGGACTGGTCGGCTCGGAGTCAGTATACTGTGTCTGAGTGGGGTATTCATGTTAAACTGCGGCATGGTATCTCAGTGAGCTAGCACTATAAATCGGCATCAGTTCGGACTAGTACAAGCAGCCACACACACACATACACTTGCATGCACGTCGCTATATAAGTGCAATAATCTTGGACGCGACGTTAAACCCAATTTCACCTCACCTCACCATGTGTGTAGCCTCGTCATGTGTCAGCTGTGATATGAATGTATGGAACATTGATAAGTCTGGTGAATACCAGACATTACTAATATTCCTGTATTTCCCACCACTGATCAAAGCTTTCGGCTCTAAATCAAAACACGACGTTTCTAATCAATCTCACATTTCAAAACACAGAAGGCCATAATTAATTTAACAGGCTTGCGATGGAAAGCTCAGTGTAACATAATGATAATAAGAGTACCACTTCAAAGGAAACTGTTTATTACATAGTCAGGTTTAAACATTGTGGTCAATGTTGAACGACATACATAACATTAAATCTGGTTATCAAGAAAATGAACTAACATTGTCACAGTTTAAATGTAAGAACAACAATCCAAAGATTTTCTGCCAAATAGTTATCATTGTCTATTACAAATTTTCGGGGACTATTTTCGGGGAGCACAGACTAACAGCCAATGAAAATCCCAAATGGTTCTCCTCAACGTGAGGTGTGGACGATGTTTTTTTCAGGGCTACAATACGTTTTGTTTTCTGTCCAGTGAATTATGTGTATGAAAATCAAGCCTGATATAGCCCGGATTATAGCAGAAGAGTTGTCTTCCCTTCCCACTATAATGGCTGTTTGACTTTCTGCCCACTGCGAAATATATGCAAGAAAAGTCTGGTTATGTGGCCATTACGAATACGTTTCTGGGCCCACTCGCCCAAAGCGATCTTAGCGCTAAGATGATCATAACTCCCATACTTTAACATAGGCGTACGATAGTCTTAGCGCTAAGATCGCTTTGTGCGCAAGTGGGCCCTGGATAGAAACAACTTTTATTCATGGCCTAACATTAAAAGAGAAGATTTAACCAACTATGAGTCCTTGTGGCACGCACTGGAGTAACTTTTGACGCCACAACTGCTTGTCTGGACAGTGCTTCTCAAAGGCGTCGCCGTATTGATCACAGTGGATGTACATGTGCACATCCGTTGGGTGGGGGTAGTAGAACAGATCCCCTTGCTTCATAGGATTTCGACATGGGTTAGGAACATTCTTGTCGAACGTGTTAGTGGTTGGATCAATCACGACATCTTTGAATGTACAGGTGAGGTCTCTCTGGTCCCAGTATGTTCCCTTGTCGCAGTCCTTGATGTAGCCGTAATGGGGCCAGTTGGAACAGTCTATGTATTTAGCAGGATTGGGAGGGTAAGGGAAGAACTGACCCTTCGTGCCTGCGTTGCAAGGGCTTGTGCCAGGAGGGACCTCTGTCACACGGGATGTGGGTTTGATGGTGGGTGCGGGGGTGGTTGTTGGCGTCGTTGTGGGGGCTTGCGTACTCGGCTCTCCGGGGATACAGTCCATGATGGATGGGTCGTATACGTAATGGGGGTCACACTGGAAGACATAGACGATTCCGGTTGGCCCACAGATGAGGAACTTGGTCTGGTCGAATGGGTGAATCATATAGCCAGGCTTTCCAGGTGTACAGGGATTGATGAAGTTGTCTGTCAAAAGAATAGCAACCATGGATCAGTTTCAATATGTTTGACGTACTGAGTAAACTGCTAGGTCAACAGCGATGGCTGTAACTACGTATTGTAAGACTGATTATGTGCCGCTGTGTGACAGACTGAAGTCTGAAGTTCTCCTCGATCCTTGACATCGTCCTGATACTGATTGGAAAAGGATGGAGGTGAATCATTTGCCAAACACTGTAGAAATAATTTGGCGTCAGGTTGTACCGGAGAAAAAGGAGAGGATGTTCTGAAAATATGTAATGTCAGTCCCTTCTTTTCAGTGAAAACGGGTGAATTTGTGAAGCAGTGGTAAAAAATCTATATTGTTTCTAGCAATAAATCAAGTACTCCTTTCCCCGAAACTTAAATGTATTTTCCCTTCAAGGCTTGAAAATATTATACATTTCACCATAAATTGTGAACTACTACTACTACTACTACTACTACTACTACTACTACTACTACTACTACTACTACTACTACTAAACATGCACCGTATACGTTGATAAAACATTTTTTTTTAAATCTATGGGGATTATCTTCAACCAGCACACTTTAGTCTTAGACTGAAAGAACATGATGACGTTGCTTCTATACTACTTCAGGTACAACTACTTACAGGGTGGTTGTTGGTAGTGGTACAGATGCTCGTATATGTTGGCCACAGAGCAGGCTGTAGTGACGTCATGCTCGATGCATGTAACTTTAACATCTGAAAAAACAATGTTGAAAATGAAAACATTTGATGAAGTATGTAACTTAGAAGATGAGTATTATGTGTTTTTTATTTGTGACCTTGTAAAATACAATTGTTATCTCTCATTTTCTGAATCGTTCTGGGGCGGTCGGGTAGCCTAGTGGTTAAAGCGTTCGCTCGTCACGCCGAAGACCCGGGTTCGATTCCCGACATTGGTACAATTTTTGAAGCCCATATCTGGTGTCCCCCGCCGTGATATTGCTGGAATATTGCTAAAAGCGGCGTAAAACCATACTCACTCACTCTGAATCGTTCTCAATAAATGGACTCTCGAAGTTACGAGGCAGACATGACGTCATCATAAGATCTGACGTAATCCACTCTATAATGCGACGACGTCATGAAACCATGTCAGCAGCATGCGGTTCTTTTTTTAATTGCACACGTTTTTCACGCAGCGAAATAAGGCTAAACAAGTAAGTATTCATCTGCTTTGAAAAGTCCGAAAGATTACCGGGATCCAAATCCAAAAAAAAAACATTTTTCAGTCAATGTAATTTCATTATACCATCCCATTCATTTTGCAATGGTTGCAAATGTAGAAATAATGTCTCAGAGATAAACAATTTAACTTTGTACCATTTGCGTTGTGAAACACCAATGCTACATCCTAATGACACGATCCACATTGTCCATAAGACATAGTATCCATGTGTATGTCTTCATTCTACTTCTTGAGGGGACAGGGGTGGCCCAGTCGTCTAAGGCGCCGCAATTCGCTGTGCAGAGTTGCGTCCCTTTGGCACGCCAGAAACCTATGATTGTTGGTTCGAATCCCGGTTCGCCCCGATTATGTTTCTAGGTTTGTAAGCACCATAACTGGAATACTGTTAAAAGCGGGGTTAAACCAAACTCACTCACTACTTCTTGAGGTAGTCTAATTGTAGATAAGATATCTTTTATTTGAATTGGGACCCGAGCGATTTCTGGATGATTTTGACTTACAGGGGTTAGGTATTATATAGTATATAAATTATGGTTTGGGTTTTTAAAGGAAAACATATATGCGGATACAACCAGTATTCATTGATCTCTTAATTCGTCCTTGTAACTCATCAAATCACTCATCACTTTCGCTATGACCAAGAGGTCGCACTTAATTTTTCATGTTTAGTGTGGAGGTAAACCAATGGTGTTTGCAATTTAATTGTTCCGAACTCTGATTCTATACCTGTATAACAAGGTGATTGGTTTTAAATGAAATTTACAGCTTTAAAATCAACGCTCAAAATCTTTAACTTGAAATCACATATGGGTCAGCTCTTAAAAATCATATTCCATAAACCGCCGTGAACATCCGGGTTGTAACTCGTCTTCAGCAACCATTGCTTTTCTAAAAAAGCGACTGAGGTAATTCGGTGGTCAGGCTCGCTGACTTCGTTGATGCATGTCATCGTATCCCAACTGCGTGGATCGATGCTCATGATGTCAATCACTTGATTGTCTAGCCCGTACTCAATTATTTACACACTGCCGTCATATAGATGGAATGTTGCTGAGTGTGGCGTGAAACAGCAAACAAACAAACAAACAAACAAGTAATTCCATGTCGAGACTACAGCTGTGGCTTATATATTCTACCTGTTCTTTTAGGAATTCGTGTAATTCAACCTACTTGGGTTGACTCTCTCAACGTTGCCGATCTTAATGGTGTAGCTGCCGGTGCAGCCGTTCGGCGGCCCTGTAGGTGTGATGTTGAGGTACAGTGGCTTCAGTTCCTGGTCGATCAGAACCACAGACGCTGCACTAAGCACTGAATTGCTGAAAACAAAGGAGTTGTGTTGTAATGAATCAGAGTGGTTTATAATTTTCAAACTATTTTGACACTAGATCAATAGATCAAATGATGTCTCATAAGAGAACGTGTGGAAGAAGAGTGTCATAACAATTACATCAATTATGTTCTCATTAAGTAAATAAATAACTGTATGGCTCTCAGTTCATTTTGGGGCACGGTGGGTCCAGTCGTCTAAGGCGCCGCGAATCGCTGTGCAGAGTTGCGTCCCTTGGGCACGCCAGAAACCTATGATTGTGGGTTCGAATCCCGGTTCGCCCCGATTATGTTTCTAGGTTTGTAAGCACCATACCCGTGTTCGTGGGTTTCACCGAAGTGGTAAACGTCTGAGACCTGCATCACTTCGGTCTTTCCTCCCACATTAAGCTGACACGCCGTGACAACTGGAATACTGTTAAAAGCGGGGGGCTTCCGGAAAATCGGGATGTCAAATAATAGAGATACATATATATGTTTTGCAAGTGAACTTTATGTTGTTTTTGTTGTGTGTGTGTGTGTGTGTGTGTGAGAGAGAGAGAGATATGTGTGGTGTGTGTGAGAGATGTGTGGTGTGTGTGATGTGTGTGTGAGATGTGTGGTGTGTGTGCGTGTTGTGTGTGATGTGTGGTGAGTGTGTGATGTGTGTATGAGATGTGTTGTGCATGTGTGTGTGTGAGATATGTGTGGTTTGTGTGTGAGATGTGTGTTGTGTGTGATATATGTGGCGTGTGTGTGTGTGTGTGAGATGTGTGTGTGAGATGTGTGGTGTGTGTGTGAGAGAAATGGGTGGTGTGTGTGTGAGATGTGTGTTGTGTGTGATATATGTGGCGTGTGTGTGTGTGTGAGATGTGTGGTGTGTGTGAGTGGTGTGTGTGTATGTGTGGTGAGTGTGTGAGTGAGAGAAATGGGTGGTGTGTGTGTAAGATATGTGGTGTGTGAGATGTGTGTTGTGTGTGATATATGTGGCGTGTGTGTGTGTGTGAGATGTGTGTGTGAGATGTGTGGTGTGTGTGTGAGAGAAATGGGTGGTGTGTGTGTGAGATGTGTGTTGTGTGTGATATATGTGGCGTGTGTGTGTGTGTGAGATGTGTGGTGTGTGTGAGTGGTGTGTGTGTATGTGTGGTGAGTGTGTGAGTGAGAGAAATGGGTGGTGTGTGTGTGAGATATGTGGTGTGTGAGATGTGTGTTGTGTGTGATATATGTGGCGTGTGTGTGTGCGTGTGTGTGCTTGCGTGTGTATTACCTACTAACCTTGAACATTTACACAATGAAAAACCCTAAACTTTACCTGAAAAAGTCACTACCGGCGAGGTTGGGAGTTGGATTATTCAACGATCCATAGATATCCACCATACCATCTGTAACGTCAATCTGAAACATTCCACGGGAGAATCACTACCAGTCCGGCATCTCCATCCTCGCAGACAGGTCCACCATCTTTGGACCAGAAGGTTGTGTTTCTACACGACCGTCCGCATTGACAGGGTTTCACATAAAGATTTCAAAGAGCGTCATACGACTCTTGCTCAGAAGTTGTTTGATCAAGGTCACAAAACATTCAAGGCCTCAGTAAAGCTTTCAAAACGTTTTATGGTACACGTGTAGAGGACGTTTCAAAATTTGACGCATCAGTGACAAAAATGATGTCTGATGCAAATCCCTAATTTGACTTGTACAATATTTCCCGTGTTTTGTCGGGTCAACAATTCTCTTGCCTTTGCATGTGTTTGTGACGGGTAGGGTGGCAGGATACGCTCACCTTTTCGCGAACACTTGGTATCATTACTACTTGATAGTGATTCATAAACACATGCTCCTGATATAGTCGGAATAGTACAATCGACTCTGCTTTGTGCAGAGTTTTCTATTGGCTATGGAAAGGGTTCTGTTGCTTTATTTATTTGAAAAATTCCTTTCCGGTCAGAGTCAACTTCATTTGGTATTCATGCTTCTCACCGTAACAACAATACGGTGACTAATCGGCTATTACGACTAGCATGAGGTACGGGGACCAGTCGGCTATTGCGAATAGCACGAGGTACGGGGACTAATCGGCTATTACGACTAGCATGAGGTACGGGACCAATCGGCTATTACGACTAGCATGAGGTACGGGGACCAATCGGATGTGACGACTAGCATGAGGTACGGGGACTAATCGACTATTATGACTAGCATGAGGTACTGGGACAAATCGGCTATTACGACTAGCATGAGGTATGGGGACCAATCGGCTATTACGACTAGCATGAGGTACGGGGACTAATCTGCTATTACGACTAGCATGAGGTTTGGGGACAAATCGGCTATTACGACTCGCACGAGGTACGGGGAATAGTCGGTGATTACGACTAGCATGAGGTACGGGGACTAATCGACTATTACGACTAGCATGAGGTACTGGGACAAATCGGCTATTACGACTAGCATGAGGTATGGGGACCAATCGGCTATTACGACTAGCATGAGGTACGGGGACTAATCTGCTATTACGACTAGCATGAGGTTTGGGGACCAATCGGCTATTACGACTCGCACGAGGTACGGGGAATAGTCGGTGATTACGACTAGCATGAGGTACGGGGACTAGTCGGTGATTACGACTAGCATGAGGAAAGGTGACCAATCGGCTATTACGAATAGCATGAGGTATGGGGACCAATCGGCTATTACGACTAGCATGAGGTACGGGGACCAATCGGCTATTACGACTAGTATGAGCTACTGGGACCAATAGGCTATTACGACTAGCATGAGGTACGGGGACCAATCGGCCATTACGACTAGTATGAGCTACTGGGACCAATCGGCTATTACGACTAGCACGAGGTACTGGGACTAAACGGCTATTGCGACTAGCATGAGGTACGGGAACTAATCGGCTATTACGAATAGCATGAAGTACGGGGACCAATCAGCTATAACGGCAAGCACGGGGTACGGGGATTAGTCGGTGGTTACGACTAGTATGAGGCACTAGGACCAATCGGCTATTACGACTAGCATGAGGTATGGGGACTAGTCAGTGATTACGACTAGCATGAGGTACGGGGACTAGTCGGTGGTTACGAATAGCATGAGATACGCGGACCAATCGGCCATTACGACTAGCATGAGGTACGGGGACCAATCGGCTATTACGACTAGCATGAGGTATGGGGACTAGTCGGTGGTTACGAATAGCATGAGATACGCGGACCAATCGGCCATTACGACTAGCATGAGGTACGGGGACCAATCGGCTATTACGACTAGCATGAGGTACGGGGACTAGTCGGTGGTTACGAATAGCATGAGATACGCGGACCAATCGGCCATTACGACTAGCATGAGGTACGGGGACCAATCGGCTATTACGACTAGCATGAGGTATGGGGACTAGTCAGTGATTATGACTAGCATGAGGTACTGGGACCAATCGGCTATTACGACTAGCACGAGGTATGGGGACCAATCGGCCATTACGACTAGCATGAGGTACGGGGACCAATCGGCTATTACGACTAGCATGAGGTACGGGGGACCAATCGGCCATTATGACTAGCATGAGGTATGGGGACTAGTCGGCTATTACGACTAGCATGAGGTATGGGGACCAATCGGCTATTACGACTAGCATGAGGTACGGGGGACCAATCGGCCATTATGACTAGCATGAGGTATGGGGACTAGTCGGCTATTACGACTAGCATGAGGTATGGGGACCAATCGGCTATGACGACTAGCACGAGGTACTGGGACTAAACGGCTATTACGACTAGTATGAGGTACGGGGACGAATCGATTATTACGACTAGCATGAGGTACGGGGACCAATCGGCTATTACGACTAGAATGAGGTACGGGGACTAATCGGCTATTACGACTAGCATGAGGTACGGTGGCTAATCAGCTTTTACGACTAGCATGGGGTACGGGGACCAATCGGCTATGACGACTAGCATGAGGTACGGGGACTAAACGACTATTACGACTAGCATGTACCGGGGACTAGTAATTGGTTACGACTAGCATGAGGTACGGGACTAATCGGCTATTACGACAAGAAACATGTACCGGGGACCTCTTCTGACCCGGAATCCCCACATGGTTCCACCTACCGTTACTTGTACCAGGGACCCGTTGGTAAAGATCTGGTACAGACCGCCACTCGAGCAAGGATACTTATAGGTGCCTGGACTCAGAACAGCTGGTGCTGAAAATTAAAATTGACGAAATTTAATTATTTTGGCATTGTAATTTGAAAATGAGTTTGTCTTTTCAAATATTGTTACACAAAACAACAAATATGCGTTAAACTGTGTGTCTTTCGGCTATGCCCAAACATAATAGCAAACGCAAGGTTTTCTATCATGAATTGGACATTGGTTGAGATTACATAGAGGACTTTAAGGTGCGGCGAAATGGGGTTTAACATCGAGTTCAATATTATTGCGCTTACATGGCGGCGTGGTGCAACTGTGAGGGTGTAGCTTAAGTACAGAGAATTGGTCAGGACTTTTCGTGTTCCTTCGTGTGAAGGAAACCATCGAGAGACACTAAAAGACTGGAAGATACAAAGTAGCACGTGACCACGAACGGTCCGATAGCTACCTTACACCCTTCTGTGTATATTTAATATTTCAAGTATGGTTTTTACAGGTACTCTGAGCAGGACTTCTACCTCTAGTTTTATAAAAATAGATACTTTTTAGTTGTTTGCTTTTAGAGAGAAAAAAAACCAACGACTTCATTTTCACTAATTGAAAAATATGTTTTCAAACCCAGGTTCTCCCCCAAAATAATGGTGGTTTTCTAAACCTTGTATTAATCGGTTTCTAATGTTATAAGACGAAGTGAACACAAACTTCATTTGGCCGAATTTATGTTACCTTAGATATTGAAGATGGCAACCTGTATCTTGGCCTGCTGCTATTCTGACCGAGATTTATGCAGTGTCATGGGTACGTGACCATATGTATTTAGTCTTTGTACAGACAAAGACAAGTATCAGTCGTGGTACAGACAAACTATCAACCAACTGTTTTGAGGACGAAAATACACAAAAGCGGTTCATGGTTTGTGTTGCTGATGGTAACAGTGCTGATCTATGTTAATAAAGGGAACCATCTGTCTGACATAATCCTGAGGGTGTTTATAACGTGTTTATGTTTTCATCAGCTGTAAAATATTATCCTTTACGAGAATGTGGAAAAAACAAAAGGAAAAACAGAGAACAATTAATTGATTAGAATTAAATCAATTGTAACGATTAAGTCTTACCTAAACAGGACACCTGCTGAATTTGGCTTACAAGAGCGCCAAGGTCGGAGTAGCCTTTCAGCTCTATCACATGGGTACAGTAGGGCTTGTTAGCAACACTTCTCAGTTCTTGGCTGTCAATGCCGTCGCCTACACCAATGGCGAAAATGGTGATTCCTTTGCTGCGTACGCCCAAAGCAGCAGAAAGGGTTTTCGACGGGTAACTCGACTGGCCATCTGTCAGAAGGATTATCACTTTAGACGCCCCGTCTCTGGATCCCATGGCTGGCGTGAAGAGGTTTCCAGAAGCGTAGTTCAGAGCTAGATTGGTATCTGTTTCCCCATTGTCCATAACGATGCCATCAATGGCTTTCTGGAGAGCAGCTTTGTCGCTGTATTGCTTGAAGTCAAACTGGGATTTGAAGCCGGTGCTGAACGTCACGAAAGCAACGCGGACATCATCTGTGCCAATTTGAAAGTTGTCGACGACTTCATGTGCAAACTTTTTGGCACTTTCGAAATCCTCCGGAGACTGACTAGACGAGGCATCCACCAGGAAAGCGAGATCAAGGTTAGTTCTTGCACAGACTGGAAATAACATATAGTAATAAGTAATGTGAGGAATAAAAGAGAAATAAAAACAAGAGATAACTAAACATTATCACTAATGTAGATATGAATTCATTTCGTTAACTTTCTTGTGAACACTTGACTTGCCTTTGCATGTGTTTATGACAGGCGCAGGGTATGCACACTTTATCATCACTATTTGATTGTGATTCATAAACGCTTTCTCGTGATAAAGTCTTGAACTCTGCTTTTGTAGATTTTCTTTGGATTCTGGATTATCTAGAGAGTGGAACGCGGTTGGTCTGATGTCTTTGCAGAGTTGTTTCCCTTGGACGTAAAAGGGTCCGCTGATTTGAATATGATCCTTGATCAGTCACCATATATACGTCCTTTCCTTCCACATTAAGCTGACACGCCGTGATACAATGACGGCTTTTCACCGAACTTACACAATCACTTACATTAAGACGACACGTGACGGTGATTGAATTTGTTAATGCTGCCTCAAACAAGACTGTATTGCTAGTTTTAATTTAACCGCCTATGTCAATCCTAACTGACTTCATACATTAGACCCGTGAATCTCCGGGTTAGAATAGGTGTTAAGCAACGCAGGCTCGCTGCATTGGTTGCTGCATGTCATCGTATCTCAATTGCGTGGCTCAATGTTCATGGTGTCAATTACTGGATTGTCTTGTCCAGCCTCGATTATTAACAGGCCGCCGTCATATAGCTGGAATATTGCTGAGTATGGCGTTTAACAACAAACAAATAAAACAAAATCATACATACGTGATCACATGACATATTGTGTATGCTCATGTTACAATATATACATACTTAAAATAACAAATTATTTTGAGTCAAAATCAAAATCGTAGCGAAAGCAAATTATTACCGATATCAAAACTTTTAGAGCCTTTGTAAAACAGGTTTGCAGCATGGGGATCAACGAAGAAGTATTTCCCATAGAAGGAGCCTTGCTTCTCCACACCCTGTGGGAGGGGTTCGCTAATGGTAGACAGGTAGAGAGCAGCAGCGAGCCCGGAGTACAGAGGCTTTCTGAGATCTGACCACTGAACAGTGCTCCAGTCGATGGCAAATTGCGAACTGACGTCCGAGAACAGGGTGCCAGTGTTCTTGATCATGTTGAACTTGTCCTGGTCGATCTGGGAGTTATCGGGAATAATACAAATACTCAAACAATATTATATTTACAAGATTTATTTATCATCTACACCTTATAGAATCAATGTTTATTTTCTTGGTTAATTTCGATCTTAAAAATTAATATTAATAGTGCCATCCTTAAACGAAACTTAAATATTTTCCATAATATGGATGTTGTTCGTTTTCGTGTAAAGTTTCGTGTGAGAAGTGTATGTAACATGATACAAAGGATTGAGCGAGTTACGTGGGTTCAACGCCGCTTTGAACAATATTCCAGTCATATCTCAACGTGTCAGGTTACGGTCAGAGGAAAGCCCGAAGTGATGCAGGTCTTAGGTGGTTACCACTTTGATGAAACCCACGAGCACGGGTATGGTGCTGACAAACCTAGAAACATAAACGGGGCGAACCGGAATTCGAACCCACAGCCATAGGTATCTGGCGTGCCAAGTGGACGCAACTCTGCACAGTAAATTGTGGCGCCTTAGACAACCCGTGTTCCAATATACAAAGGAAGGTACTCTACCTGCCATATGCCCCCATCGTAGCCTGGTCTGTAGGTCTTGGCGTCTTTGCCATCTTGTGATGCCACATAGGCCAGGCGTCTGAGGAACAACTTGTCATCTTGGAACAGACACGACTCTCGGACTCTATTAACCACTGCTTGCACCACTTCAGGCCCATATGAACCTGGAACTAGAGTCTGATCCTGTGTTTGGGCTTGCAAAAGACCCAACAGCGCGATCGAGATGAATAAGCGAAACATCTTTCCTCCCAAGCTGTCACGACTCAGTATCGGGTCTACAGTCAGGTATCAACTAACTGAGCATGTACGACCGTTCTGGAGAAACTCCACCTGACAAAGATGAAAATTCGGGATGTAGCCCTATTTAAGGTTGGCTACCTTTCAATGATGAGGCCGACAAAGATGGAATGATAACCTTTGAGTTTGAACAAGAGGGTATGGTAGGGTCATCATATGAATAGCCTCAGGACATAAGATGGTCACCTGGGGGCACAGAGAAAATACCTACGGAGCCTGGAAGCAAAACTTGCTGTGGTTAATTAAAGAGGGTGTTTGACATATATCTGGGAAGGGTGTTCTCCAACACGACTCCCCCACGTTCATATGTTCTGATATGACGTATTCAAATGAGTTAGGATTTCCGAAACCACCTACTTCTGACACGATGTCCAACCCATTTCATTAAAAATCTTTGGATTTCCGTATAGCATGCCGCCTGAAAGAACATTTAGCTGAATCGTGTCATTCCTGTGTCATTACAGATTATTATATTTACGTTTGTCATGGCTCTGACACTGAGACCCTTGACAGTGTACGTCTGGATCAAAGTGTCATTACTACACCCCTAAGAAATAGCAATACTACGAGTTTGGTGAAGGTGTTATTTAAAATGCATGCTTGGTAGAAACATGTTACATGATTCATCCTTGAGTATATAAAATGGGACAGGAAAACAGTTTGTGTGAGTGAGTGAGTTATATCACGGCGTGTCAGCTTCTTGGATATCGTAAGAGTCGAATGAATGGATCGAGTGGTGAGAGTCGGTGACCTGGGTCATTGTGTCTCATCGTTCCCCGACGGCTTGGATAGCAATCACTGGATTGTCTGCTCGAGACCCGGTTATTTACAGGCCGCTGCCATAAAGTTGGAACATTGCTGAATGCGGCGTTCAACCAAAAATAAACAAACGAATCAACAAATATAGCTGTGCGGCTTTAATTACCAAACAAACAAATACGTAAGATAATCCCGCTCCAAAAACAGAGTTTCATACAAAAATCTTGACTCATTATCGGAAGAAAGGAAGGAAGTAACACTATTTTACCGGAAACATGGGTATTTCTGTTACTTGCGCTTGTAAATGAATCTTGTTGCTTAACCAAAATGAAAACCAATACGCGTCCACTGATATCACCATTATAACCCATACGACAGCACACATGATATCGTTTCACGACCTTTAAGTGGTTTGTTGGATTGATTGATTTGTTGTTCAACGCCGCACTCAGCAATATTCCAGCTATATGACGTCTGTACACAATCGAGTCTGGACCAGACAATCCAGTGATTGACATCATGGGCATCGGTCCTCGCAATTGGGATACGATGACATGCATCAACCAAGTCAGCGAGCCTGACCACCCGATCCCTTTAGTCGCCTCTTACGAGAAGCATAGTCGCCTTTTACGGCAAGCATGGGTTGCTGAAGACCTATTCTACCCCGGGTCTTCACGGGTATAGCAACAAAGAAGACAGACTGAATGTTGATTTAAACTTTTTCCGTACAGATGTAACTACCTTTATCATTGAAATGATCCCTGGTAAGGTGCGAGCGTCTGAACCGAAACGGGGGTCACGGGTGGCCCAGTCGCCTTAGGCGCCGCGATTCGCTGTGCAGAGTTGCGTCCCTTGGGCACGCCAGAAACCTATTTTTGTGGGGTTCGCCCCGATTATGTTTCTAGGTTTTATCAGCACCATACCCGTGCTCGTGGGTTTCACCGAAGAGGTAAACATCTGAGACCTGCATTACTTCGGGCTTTCCTCCCACTTTAAGCTGACACGCCGCGATATAACTGGAATACAGTTAAAAGCGGTGATAAACCCAACTCACTCTCTCACTGAACCGCAACGTCATATTGAAGACTAAAGAAGTTGAATTCTATTTGTTAAATCTGGCCTCACCTCACAAAACAAACCCCTATACATTCACGTATTCTCAGCTCCATGAGAAGATAAAATAAACAACCTCTTTAGGCGCAATGGTATTTGTCTAGTCACCAACATGTGTAACCGGACATGCTGCTGGAAAACCATCTTGGTATTACATAAATATCCACATACCTTGGTTTGGAGTGGAAATAATCATTCGATAGAAAAGGCGCCTTCATTTCAGGTTTAGGGGGCACGGGTGGCCCAGTCGTCTAAGGCGCCACGATTCGCTATGCAGAGTTGCGTCCCTTGGGCACGCCAGGAACCTATGATTGTGGGTTCGAATCCCGGTTCGCCCCGATTATGTTTCTAGGTTTGTCAGCACCATACCCGTGCTCGTGGGTTTCACCGAAGTGGTAAACGTCTGAGACCTGCATCACTTCGGGCTTTCCTCCCACATTAAGCTGACACGCCGTGATATGACTGGAATACTGTTAAAAGCGGCGTTAAACCCAACTCATGTCAGATTTAATATTTGACTAATATGCCGTCAAATTTACAAACAGGCTGAAACTGTAACACAAAAACAAGCTTCTGTTCGATTAATGATCAAAGTGCATTAAGATACGTGTGAAGTAAAGTGTGAAAAGTAAAGTCGAACGTGAAGTCGAGAGTGAAGTATGAGGTCAAGTTTGTAGTTCTGTATGAGGTCAAGTGTAAAGTCTCGGGTGAACTTGGGTGTAAAGTCAATTGCGAAGTCAAGAGTGAAGTTTGAAGTCAAGTTTGTAGTTCTGTATGAGGTCAAGTGTAAAGTCTCGGGTGAACTTGGGTGTTAAGTTAAACTGGAGTCAAATTTGTTGTTCAGGATGAGGTCAGGTTTAAAGCCTCGAGTAAACTTGGGTGAGTTCGTGTGTCGGTGTGTGAGTGTGGGTTTGAGTGAGATCTTGTTATTGTGAATGCGTGTGAGTGAGTTTGAGTGAGATCCTCTGTGTATGAATGTGTGTGTGTGTGTGTGTGTGTGTGTGTGTGTGTGTGTGAATGTGTGCGCGTGAGTGAGCTTAAGTGAGATCCTCTGTGTATGAGTGTGTGTGTATGTGAGTGAGTCTGAGTGAGTTCCCATATGGGTGTGTGGATGTGAGTTTGAGTGAGATCTTGTGTATGTGTGTGTGTGAATATGTGTGTGTGTGTGTGAGAGAGAGGGAGAGAGTGTGTTTGTGAGTCTGAGTGAGTTCTACGGGTGTGTGAATGTGTGTGTGTGTGTGAGAGAGTGTGTGTGTGAGTGAGTTTGAGTAAGATCCTCTGTGTATTAATGTGTGTGTGTGAGTCTGCGTGAGTTCCTCTACGGGTGTGTGAATGTGAGTCTGAGGGAGTTCCTGTATGGGTGTGCGAATGTGAGTTTGTTTGAGATCTTGTGTGTGTGTGAATGCTTGTGTGTGTGAGAGTTTGAGTAAGATCCTCTGTGTATGAATGTGTGTATGTGTGAGTCTGCGTGAGTTCCTCTACGGGTGTGTGAATGTGAGTTTGAGGGAGATCTTGTGTGTGTGAATGTGTGTGTGTGTGAGTGTGTGGGATCCTATGTGTGAGTGAGTTTGAGTGATATCGTGTGTCGGTGTGTGAATGTTAGTTTGAGTGAGATGCTTTGTATATGAGTGTGTGTGTGTGAGAGAGAGAGGGCTTTAGTGGGATCCTCTGTGTGTGAATATGTGTGAGTGAGAGAGTTCCTGTATGGGTGTGTGAATGGGTGTTTCACTTAGATCTTGTTAGTGGGAATGTGTGTGTTAGTAAGTTTGGGTGAAAACCTCTGTGTGCGTGAGGGTGAGTTCGACAGAGATCATGTGTGTGAATGTGTGTGTGTGTGAGAGAGTTTGAGCGAGATCTTTCATGTTTTAATGTGTGTGTGAGTTTGTGAGAGATAGTGTTTGCATTAGTATATATGTTTGTATGTGCGTGCATGCTTGCGCGCTTGCGCGTATGAATATAAGTTGATTAGTAAGTAATGGCGTGAGCATGTGTGGGAGTGTATGAAAGTTTTGTGAGTGAGGTGAAGTGCTATGCCTTAGTTAGGTACTAATTACACCTAAAATAGTTAAGGTTTATCTAAAACACATTTTATCACGCCTCAAATAGTTACAGCTCACTTCAAACACGTGGCTAACTTTAATTACAGTGTTATCACGACTCAATAGTTGCAGTGTACGTATAAATATGTGTAATCAAAACTCAAAAGCTTCAGTTCATCTTAAACACGTGTAATTTACGAATGAATAGTTACAGTTCACCTCAAACACGTGTTATCTCTACTCAACAGTTACAGTTTTCTTAAACACGTGTCATCACGTCCCAATGGTTAGAGTCAACTTTAAACACGTGCTATCATATTTGAATAGTTCTAGCATTGCCGAAACGCATACACGGGCGATAGTTGTGGCGTGTCCCGGAATGGACACAAGTTATCACGAAGCAAGTGAGTGAGTGAGTTGGATTTTACGCCGCTTTTAACAGTATTCCAGTTATATTACGGCGTGTCAGCTTAATGTGGGAGGAAAGCCCGAAGTGATGCAGGTCACAGACGTTTACCACTTCGGTGAAACCCACGAGCACGGGTATGGTGCTGACAAACCTAGAAACATAATCGGGGCGAACCGGGATTCGAACCCACAATCATAGGTTTCTGGCGTGCCCAAGGGATGCAACTATGCACAGCGAATCGCGGCGCCTTAGACGACTCGGCCACCCGTGCCCCCATCACGAAGCTAGAGTATGTCTCACTGTATCACAATGCCATGCGCAATACGATCATTTATCATAGAAGTATTTTTCATACAAAATGGACATTTTCACCTTCTCATGTGCAATGCTTTCTTTGCTATGTACACCCACGTACTCCTCCTTAACATAGCGTCAGTACCAGCTCCTGCAGGCATGATAATAAAACAGGGATCAGCCCAGTCCTCTCGGCAGGTCAGCTGATAATACGAAACTGCCCGACCTATTGACATAGAGGGTTGGGAGCACATCAAGCAAGCATCTATATTTCCGTCTGTCTTCATCTCAGCCAAACCCAGTAGCATCAAAGTTAAATTACGCGAGATCCCGTGTGGTTTCGAGTGAGGGTGTTCCTGAACACTCCATTTACAAT